GGTTGCAGACTGCTTCCCTGCAGGCCAGTTTCCAGCAGGGGACGCACAAAAAGGTAACCATACATTGATGTTTCTCTCCCTCTCTCCTTCCCCTCTATAAATTAATTAATTAAAAAAAAAACAGGTCAGACATGGGCCCCAGCCATTCCTGAATACCCAGACGCCACAGGGCTGCGTGGCAGGGATTTCTCTTTTCACACTCCGCCGCCTCACACAGTAACAAGTTCCAGGTGTTTGTCACTCGGCCATGTAAAGCAGAAAGGCCTTTCTTTGCTCCTTAAGTGACTTCCTGGAGAGAAGAGGGCCTTGTTCTCATCTCCAGCCTCGGGCCTCCTCGCTCAGGCCCCTGCCCACCCCTGGCCCCACTGGCTCACCCAGCCAAGACGGAGCCCTTTCTCAGCCTTCGCTTTCCGACCTGCCAACGGAGATGAAGTCCACCTCCAGGGCTTTTGTGAGGACAAACTGAGATACTACTTGGGTGACACTTAAGACTCTGCCTGACACAGTGCTCAATGAAGGGCGTTCAACTCAAATCCCCATTTCCTGCTGGGGGCCGAACGTCTGCAGAGAAGGATGGGACAGGGATGCAGGTGGACCTCTGCTAAAATCCAGGCTCAGTGACTGACCAGCTGTACAACCTTGAGCAAGTTATTGAAGTTTCACAAGTCTTTCCTTATGTCTAAAACAGCAACATTTGTACCTCAGGGATGATGTAAGAATCAAAAGTAATCAAAGTGCAGGGAGGAACACGGTCCACTTTCAGACGCCGTAAGAGATGTTAAGAATGTGCATCGCCACGCTCCCAGCAGGCCAAGGACTGAGGCGGCCTCCGACCCCGCGGAGGGGAGCAAGCCTGCCCACGCACCATGACAACCAGGCAAGTCCAGACCAGTCTGCCTGGTTGGGCCAAATCTTTGAGGTCTTACAGATACCAATACAGGTGCCTTCAATTCCAGATGCCAGGGGACTCAAGGTTGGTCAGTGCCAGCCAGGACTCGGCCAGGGATGGAAATACAGTCTACCTTCTGATTCCTAGTTCTCCCCAGTCCCCGTGCCTGCACGAAGCGTCCTCCCCTCTCAGGGAGATTCAGCTGCATGGACCAGACCTCCTGAGAGGGCCTGGACTGTTGTCTTAGTGCAGCTCCATGAGGGCCTCAGCTCTGGGGAAGGTGACAGGTAGTCCCAGATCAGCTTGGGGTCATGCGGGTGAAGGTAGGGGTGGATACTGGGACTGCCACTGCAGTCCCTCACTGTCTCCATCCCTCCCAAAGATAACGGGGCCCTTCCCACCTGCCAGCCTGAGCTGTCATGGCAGAAATGCCCACCACACCCCTGGCTGGTGTGGCTCAGTGGACTGAGCATTGGCTTATGAACCAAAAGGTTGCTGGTTTGATTCTCAGCCAGGGCACATGCCTGGGTTGTGGGGGAGTATGTGAGAGGCAACCATGTTTCTCTCCTTCTCTTTCTTCCTCCTTTCCCCTCTCTCTAAAAATAAAATAAATAAAATCTTAAAAAAAAAGAAAGAAAGAAAGAAATGCCCACTGCAAACATGAAGACTGGTAGGGAAGCCTGCGTGTGCTCAAGGGCAAACCACTGTTGAGCCTCAACTGTCACATAGGCAGTGATACTTCCCAGAGCTGCAAGGACAGAATATGATAATGTAGCCAAATGAGCCTGACAACAGTAAGAGGAAGGGCTCGTCCCCACACTCCTTGTCCTCCCTCAGGTCAGCTCATGCAGGGACTCACCATCGTCGGCCGTGTTGAGTTTGAGGCTCTTGCCCTTGAAACTCAGCTGTCCGCCAGCCACCTGGGTTTTGGCTAGCGTCTCTGCCAACTTGGCAATGTCTTCAGAGGCCATACTGGACTCGTTGGCAGGCTCTCCTGGAAATCTGCAAACTGAAGTGGCCAAAGTTTCATTAAGAGAGAAGGCTCGACCCTGGTGGGCAGCTCTGTTGGTTATATGCCAAGGCTGCAGGTTCAATCCCCCATCAGGGCACACACAAAAATCAACCAATGAATGCATAAACAGGTGGAACAACAAATTGATGTTTCTCTTTATCTCTAAAATTCAGTAAGTAAATAAGTTTTAAAGAGAGAGAAAGGGAGGGAAGAGGCTCCTGGGGTCCCCAGTTGGGGAGATAGAGTAGGAAACCAATCAGGGGCCTATGCCCACCTTCCCAATAGCTACACCACTGGGAGAAATGAAAACTGCAAACTAGGAAAGGAATCATTCTAGAAAGGTGGATGAGATGGCAAATATGAGAAATATCATGTTTTGCCTCTGAAGAACTACCTTCCCACTATAAGGCATTCTTGTCCAACCGCCCCAGCTGGGACACCTAGCAAAGCCATGTGAGCTGCCCAGTTCCTGGGCTCTCAGAGAGTGACAGTTAAGTGCCAGGGTCATGGACACCAAGAGTTTGCCCCAAGCACACACCTGCTGGATCATCTTGGCTAGTCCCTGTTTGAGGATCCCATCCCTCAAACAGGACATAGATGGCTACAGGATCCAGGTCATCCGTCCCAGAGAATGCCCCACCACCCACACTGGCATGATTCTGGGGGTGGGGCACAGGAGCCAGCCCACCGCACATCTGGTTTCAGCCCTGGCCAGGAGAGTAGGTAGCCCATGGTGGTCAGACCTCAGGGATTCCTAGGAGACTAGAGGTCTCTACATCACAACAGCCACCATCACAATAGAGCAGGGGCAGAGCTGCTGAAAAAAGGAGCTTCCAGCCTGGAGCTCAGCAGACTCAGAAAGGACCATTCCACTCTCCAAAGAGGAAATGGCAGGTCATCAGGCGAGACCAAGAAGACTGATTAGGCAGAGAGAACTAGGAGATACAGAGACTCCTTCCATCCAGACCACTTACTCCCTGAATCAACTCAGCTTCAAGATATGGTATGATAGCTCCCCATGCTCCCACTGGCCCAAGTAGCCAGACTCGCACCCTCTTTTTCTTGTCTTAACCTCATCACCCCAGTGTGTCTGTCTTTATCAATAGGCATGAGTTATTCTTCTGGGTAAGGAGGCATCAAACCATTCATTATGAGTACTACTATGTGCCAGACATTGTTGCAGGTACCAGGAGTATAGCAGTGAATGAACACTGCCAGCTTGAAACATGTTCTAAACAAGATATTTAGTATCCTAAGTAAGATACTCAGTATCTGATATGAAAAACAAATAGGAAAGGAGGGGGTAAGGAGTTTTTTGAGGGGTTGCAATTCCAAGTAGAATGGTTAGAGGTGGTATTAGGGGAAAAACAAAGACCTGAAGGATATCAGAGATGGAGCCATGCAGATACCTGGAGGAAGAACATTCTTGCAAACTCAACTAACTGCTTTTGTTGGGGAGAGGAACTTCAAGGAGGCCAGCGGGGCTGGGGCACAGAAGAGGAAGGGAGAAAGGAGGTAAGAAATGAGAAAAGAGTATGAACAAAAGGCCCAAAGGTCATTTTAAGAACTGTGGCTTTTATCCTGAGTGACAAGGAGAGCCACTGGAATGTTTCCAGCAGAGGAGAGGGGTGATACACACGCTTCAACGGGATCAATACATCTGCCACATACGGCCTGGCTTTTAAAAGATGCTTCAATGATGGGATGAAGCAGAATAAAAATTAGCCTGAAACTCCACCACCTCTTGCAGTTCTGGGAGGGAACAATCTGAAGCTACGAAAATGGTGTGTGTATGTTGGGGTGGGGGCCCCAAATGGAACAGGCACACAAACTTATCAGCTGGCGGAGGGCCCACCCTTCAGTCTAGTGTACACACGCGATCCACTAGACTCAGCAAAGAGGTGAATTCATTTGTCCAAAGTCTGCAAAGGAGCAGTGGCAGAGCAAAGACAAACGGTAAACATACAAGCGGTCCTCTCCCTTCTCCACTCCGGCGTCACTTTCTTAGATGCACATCCATCGCTCAGGTGAAGCGTTTGCAGTGAGTCACGCCGATTCCCTCCCGAGGGCTGCGGCGCCAGCCCAGGCCCTCGGCGAGTGTGGGCCTCTTGGGAGGCGGCCTCCAAGGGAGATACGAGCGAGTGCCAGCCGCCAGTGACAGGCAGGCTGCGCGAGAGCCGCACCCGGGATCCCTGGGCGACGCGCACCGCCCCCAGTTGACACCGACGCTGACAGGAGACGCCACTGTTGGCAGCGGCGACCAGGAGAGCCAGACACCCTCTCTAAGCCTCAGTTTCCCCACATGCAAAGGGGTCTAGCCCCCCACTCCCACCCTCTCCGCACTTGGCCGTAGAAGGCGCAGGGGAGAAGATGCTCAATGGGCGCCCCACCTCCCACATCCAGTTCCAGAGCCGCCCCGCCCCCATTCCAGGCAGGTGACAGGGAAAGGAAAGGACCCTCACCCTACCGTAAACAGATGGCGCCACCGCGTGGGGAGACCCTAGCAGGCGCCTACTCCCTCCGGGATGGGGGCTGACTTAGGGTCCGTGTCAGGTCCGGTCGGAGTCGCCGCCTCCGAGTCCAGCGGTCCCGATGCCCAGCCCGCCTGTCCGTCTGTCCTCCCCACTCGCGACACCACCTGCTCCCCGCACGGCTAAGGATGATGGCGGAGGAGGAGGATTTTGAAAGCCGGCAGTTTCTTTCCCTCGATTTGATTTGTTCCAGGCCCGGACGGCCTCCCCGGCCCCCGCGCGCGCGGCCTCTCGGGTATGGTAGTCCAGTGCCCCGCGTGGGGCGCGACGGAGCGCCGCCGCGCACTACCTTCCCGAGATTCAACGCGCCCAGAGCGGGCGGGCGGCCCTCTCGCCCTCCCTTTTCAACTTCTGGCTCTTTCTCTGGGAGACGACAGGGCGGCATTTTGTGGTGAGCTCCCAGAAAGACTACAATTCCCTTAATGCCTTGCGGCCTACCACCCCCGCCCTTCTGGAAAGGTGCGCTTTCACGTAACTTTATTGGCAAGAGCTGGCACAGCCCGACGCACCCTATTGGATGTGTTCAGCAAGAAATAGGTATTTCCTGAAAGGAAAGCCTCGCCTTTTCTTTTGTCTCATGAAATTGAAAGAACATTGGGAGCTTTCCGTGTTAACAGTCACAAATTACTCGATGATTAAAAAGGGGAAATAGTAACCCCATGAGGGAGAAACTCTGACAGCATATTAACCCAATCGGCCCTTATGAATATCAATAAGAGGACAAACTGATATCCGCCTCACACCTCTGTACGCGATGCACTGAGGACACAGCATCACCAACCGGTGAGCGATGCAATTAATCTAATAATGAGGAAACATCAGACAAACCCAAACATGTTACAGAATAACTGGTCTGTACTCCTCCAAACACGTCTCTCGTGAAAGAGAAAAGCTGGGGGACTGTTCCAGATTGAGGGAGGCTAAAAAGACAGTAAAACGAAATGCAGCACCTGATCTTGGATTGAGTTTTGCAGTGTGTGTATGTGTGGCTGGGGGATTACTATAAAGGGCAATATTGAGACAATTAGTGAAACTTGACTGTATGTATATTATGTAATAGTATTGTATCAACATTAAATGTATTGATTTTTGTTACTGCACTGGGTTATGTAAGAGACTGCCCTTATTCATCTCTGTTGATTGAATTTGAGGATGCAGAACATGCAGGTACAGAGAGCTGACTCTACAAATGTATGCCTTTTGTAAAAAAAGAAAAAAAAAGTGGCGTCGCAAACTTTCAAAAAGTAGGGGGAGCCCTGGCTGGTATAGTTCAGTTTAGCTGGATTGAGTGTGGGCCTGAAAACCAGCGGATTTCGGTTGGATTTCCAGTCAGGGCACAGGCCTGGGTTGCAGGCCAGTTTCCAGCAGGGGACACACAAGAGGCAACCATATATCGATATTTCTCTCCCTCTCTCCTCCCCTTCCCCTCTAAAGATGAATAAATAAAATCTTAAAAAAACAGTGGGGGCATGTCTATACACATGTAGAGTACAAATGTGGCAAAATGTTAACAGTGAGTGAATATGGGAGTTCTTTGAACATTTTGGCCACTTTTCTGTAGGTTTGGATTTTCTCAAGTACCAGAACACAAGTAGCTTTTGCTTTTTTCTTTAGTGTTATACTTATTTATTTTTAGAGAGGGGAAGGCAGGGAGAAAGAGCGAAAGGGAAACATCCAAGTGTGGTTGCTTCCTGTGCGCCCCCTATTGGGGGCTGACCAGGCCGGCAACCCAGGCTCGTGCCCTGACTGGGAATCAAATCCAAGACCCTTTGGTTTGCCCGCCAGCGCTCAATCCACGGAGCCACACCAGCCAAGGCTTTTTTTTTTTAAACCTTTTAGCCATTATCTAAATAAAACATGTTCACCATAAACACTTCAACCAATTTAGAACAGGATAGAGAGAAAAGTAAACATTATCCCAAAAACTGTAGCACCCAGAGATAATCACTGTCAACATGTGCAGCTGTCTTTTCTAAAGGCTCTTCTCGCAACTCGGCCCACACACATGCTTTTGCACTGCCTGTGATTCACAGTTACATACAGGCTGGGGTAAAAGTAGATTTATAGTTGTCAGTATGCAAAACACAGAGTTTATTCTTGTATTATTATTTATGACTTATTGTATTATTTATTTGTACCACAACTGTAAACCTCCTTTTGCCCCCCCTATATATTATGAACCAGATCCTTTACCACACAGGTAGTTGAATCTCTACAACCACAAAGGAGGTGGGCATTGTTACCACCCTTCCCAGTGCAGAGATGAGAAAACCAAAGTTCCAGCCCGGTTCACACAACTACTCAGATAGGGGTCATCTTTGTATCTTCTTCCTCATTCTCTGCCTACAAGCCCCATATCAAATGCCACCTCCGTTGAGAGGCTTTCCTATGCCACTCCAGCCAGGACACTTTCCTCCTGGCCCCACCGTGAGCCGAAGGCCCCCACATCAGTCAGTCTGTGGGTTCCTTCACAGTCAGAGTCAACAGTGTTCGGGGCGGCTTCCTCCTCAACCCGGGAGCACCTTGGGGATAGGTACTCAGCATCCTCTGGGGCCAGGACTGTGGCTAGTGCTTCAGGTTTCCTCATTTGAACTGGTTTCCAGTTTAAACAAACTGGAGTTTGTTTAAAATGAGTACCATGAGAAGGCTGGGACGGCCCCAATTAGGCCTGCTGCACTTCCTGTGCTGGCTCCAGTTAGGGTCAAGGTCAGTCCGGGAGTCTCTCGGGACGATCCCCAGGCTCCCTTTTCCAGTTTACTTCCTGCGACTTTGCGGGCCCTCTGAGACAGACCCCCCAGAAAGAAGAAGGTAGAAGGTGGAACATCTTAGACAATCTCTTTTTTCATCTACTTGATGAATCAGGGGTTTCAGAACTGGAAGGGGCCCTGGCTGGGTAGCTCACTTAGTTACAGCGTCATCCCTATGTGACAAGGTTTCGAGTTTGATCCCCAGCCAGGGTACATAAAAGAACCAACCAATGAATGTATAGGTAAGTGGAGCAACAAACTGATGTTTCTCCCCCCTTTTCCTCTCTCTCTAAAATCAATAAATTAAAGAAAGAGAGAGGAAAAAAAGAAAGAAAGAACCGGAAGGGAATTCTTTACAGAAACTCAGTGGCCTTCAAAGGCCAGGGAGACAATAGGAGGTCATGGGGGTAATGGAGAACTCTAGACTAGGTATTCTATTTGAAAGTATTCGCACTCTAAGCAAAAAATCACAACCCAGCCTGACAGCACCCCTTAGCCATCTAGATTCTGTTTGTTACTCCCAAATCTAGATTCCATCTCACTGCCCTTTATTTCTTTTTAGAGAGAGGAAAATGGAAGGAGAAAGAGAGGGAGAGAAACATCAGTGTGTGGTTGCCTCTCTCAAGCCCCAGACTGAGGACCTGGCCCGCAACCCAGGCATGTGCCCTAATTTGGAATTGAACTGGCGACCCTTAGGTTTGCAGGCCCGTGCTCAGTCCACTGAGCCACACCAGCCAGGGGTCAAAGTCCTTTAAAATGGAGACTGGGGTTTAAAAACAAAGGAAGGAGGTTTGCCCAAGGGTGCACAGTGAGTCAGAAGAGTCCAGAACTGTCAGTGTTTCCGAGCAACCCATTCGTCATCTTCTCTCTGTCCTTCCCTTTCTCCATCTGTCTCTCTGTTATCACAGGAGAGCTGGTCTGTTTGCCTGGCCCTGGAAGTGGACTCGGCCTCTGACAGACAGATAAAGCCATCTCCAGCCACACCTTTCCTCTTCCCAACAGATGAAGGACTTCAGTTCGAAGAGGTCAGATAAGCTGCCCAGTTTGCACAGAAATTTAGAGAAGACCTAGTAGAAGCTAGATCTCTAGGCTTCTTTTCTTTCGACACACACACAGGCACACACACATAACAAGTCTCTTTGTGAGTGGGAGGCAGGACCACGGGGATGGGGAACATTCCGGGCCTTTCTCTATCTGTGGCGCAGTGCATTCTGTTTTGTTTTGTTTTGTTTTTTAATGTCTTGAAGAGGAAAGCAGGCTGCCTCTGATTCGTTTGGTTTACTTTAACCGAGTATTTTAAATTCCATTCTGGTGCCTGAAAACAAACTTAATTGCCAATTGCAAACGGTATAAATAATATTTACACCAGTTTTCTAAAGGCTGCCGGCTTGCCATGTAGTCATATCAGAGACAAACGCCTCGAGTGTGCCAGACAGTGAGGAGCGTGGGGATTAGTTCCTAAGACCCGAACGAGTGCTGCCCTTGGGCCCCCGGGGAGAGGTGCATGGGCCTGGCCCTGCTGCTGGGGAGCCTGCCCCCCTCGGGGGTCGCCTCCCAGTGGGAGAGGAGTCCCTACCTCGTTAATAAAAGACAACTCAAACCACACTGTCCCCCTCGGGTTCAAGCAGGGCTCTCCTCACAACATACTTTTTTTCTTTTTAACCTCTATAAACAACTGCAGTTAAAATAATTCATTAACTCTATCAACAGTTACCGAGCATCTACTCTGTACCAGGCACTCTCCCAGCACCTGAGAATCCAGTGATAAAGGAGGAAGAAAAGGGTGTTGTCTGCAGAGGATCCTAAATTTTTGGCCCACGTTTGTGAAGGGTTCCCTACTACCAGATGCTTTGGGAGATTACTTTCTTTTTCAAGAAATATTGTGTTTCAAAATGGCGACAATATTTTGAAAAGAAAACTGATGGTAATTTTTAAAAATTAGTATAAATGTAAAAAATCATAAAGAGGAAAGTTGAAAATTACCTGCTTTATTTTTAACAAAATTTTATGTGGCCCTGGGGCGGCTCATTGGGTTGGGCACTGTCCCACAAAGCAAAAGGTTGCTGGTTCAATTGGGGCATGTGCCTGGGTTGTGGGTGGGTCCCCCTTCAGAGCATGTGCGGGAGGCAACAGATTGATATTTCTCTCACATATTGATGTTTCTCTCCCTGTCTTCCTCCCTTCCCCTCTCTCTAAGACTAAATCTTTTATTCTAGCTTCTCAGAACCTCTTGCTGCTCCTGAAACGCTGGTTTCCCAGAGCAGCTAAGATTCCTAGGATTCTGCAAGCAGCTAGAGTTATCTTGTGGACTGCTGGATGGATGGATAGAAAGATGAATACGTGATAAAGCAAATACAACAAAATGTTAACAATAGTAGCATACTCTAGGGTATGCAAATATACAGCTCTCAACTTCCTGGAGGCTCGAACATTTTCATAATAACTATGGGGCCAATATGACCATGTTTTACTGCCTGCATTTCATCCGCTGTGTTACAGGCTGACCCATCTCAGCCTCCAGGCTCATGGGTCCTCCTCCCCCACCTCTTTTTTTTTTTTTGAGATTTTATTTATTTACTTTTTAGAGAGAGTGGAAGGGAAGGAGAAAGAGAGGGACAGAAACATCAGTGTGTGGTTGCCTCTCATGATCCCCCGCCCAGGGACGTGACCTGTAACCCAGGCATATGCCCTGGCTGGGAATCGAACCTGCAACCTTCTGGTTTGCAGGGCCGCACTCAATCCACTGAGCTACACCAGCCAGGGCTTCCTCTCCTTTTTTAAGTCATCTTTGAGAATATGAATTCTATGGACTGTTTCCCAGAAGAATATATATTTTTATTTATTTTCTAGTTAACCACACATTTATCAGTGCTTTGCATGCTTAATCCTCACAGTGACCCCATGGGGGACGTACTCTTCCTATGCCCAACCTGACCCTAAAACTGTGCATTCATCCTCAGGAGCCCTCCCTACACCCCAGGGTAAGGTCTTGGAGGCTGGGGCCTGGGCCTTTGCTGGAGCTGGACACAGTGTTTCTCTGCAGTCCCAGGACCCAGCGTGGAAACGGATGTTGAAAGAGTGAGGAAACTCTGCACACGCGTGGAGAGTCTCCTCTCCACACAGCTAAGGTTGCCCTGTGCTCAGACCCCGCCCCGACGCAACAAGGCATCCGTGGAGGCTGGCCCGGGACAGAGCTAGGCCTGGGGCAGGAGGTGCTCTCGGGAGCAGGAACAACCAAATGTTCCTGTTGGTTGCTCTGAGGTCAGAGCATGAGCGTCTGGCTCTCATTCTCCAGGAACCTGCTCAGGTGACAGGCCCTCGTGACACATTCAAATGTCAGATGTCCACGTCACAGGGCAGTGGTCAGGCCTTTCAGGAGGGCACACCTGGAACTGAATTGTGTCTCTCTACCTCTTTCTTAGCTGTGTGACTGCAACCAAGTCACTTCCTACTTTGTGTCTGTTTGTTCACCTAAAAACGGGCAAAATCAATCCCTACCTTACAGGACTTGGGGAAGGGTAAAGGATCAGCATGTGCAAAGGGCTTGGTTCATGGTAGATAAGAAGTGGTGGCTGTTACCGCTACTGCAGCTTTAACACGGGGTGTGGAACACTGTCGCCGAGGACGTCGGGCCTTGGGGTTCCCCAGAAGACAACTTGTGCCAGCCTGGAGAACTTTCTCCCCAAAGCACTACCACCTCTCGTTCTTCTTGCTGGGGTCTTCTAGATGTATGTCCGGGAGGTATCCAGACATGTAATATGAAAAATCAGAGACATTTATTGAAGAAGATACATGATACAAGAAGCATTGTACATAGGACAGTGATGCCTCAGTCCCCTTCAAAGTGGGCACCTTGGGACCTCACACAGTTCTAACTGACATCAGCTGCCCTGTCAAATTTTCCTGAATCTCATCAACGGTCTGAAATCTCTTACCTTTCAAAAGTGATCTTAGTTTTGGGAAAAGCCAGAGATCACGGGGCCCCAAATCTGTACTGTAGTGGGGCTGAGTCACCAGTGTGATTTGATGTTTCACCAAAAACTCTGCATTGGACGTGATGCATGAGCAGGTGTGTTGTTGTGATGAAGCTGCCAATCACCAGTTGCCCAGAGCTGCGGTCTTCTGAACCATCCGAATGGTATCTGCAGAGGAGTGTTCAAACTTAACACAAGGTTAGATGTAGATTCATTACCCTAGTCACTCAGTCATTTTGAATGCGAGTACCACAGACTACACGAGCTCACTCAGCGGCATCTCCTGCCCCCACTGACCGGTACAGTGGAGTGGTCATGTTCACGCGAGCACATTCCAGTCCATTCTCCTTGGCTGCCAGGTTACTTCGATGTCACGCAAATGGTTCTCATTATATTAACAATGGATGGATTTTTTTCCAGACAGACCTTGTGTGTGTGTGTAATGTGTTCTGTTTTCAATTCCTCATCCGAGGATATGCTATTGATTTTAGAGAGAGAGAAACATTGATGTGAGAGAGCAGCATTGATCAGCTGCCTCCCACATGTGCCCCGACTGGGAATTGAACCCTCAACCTAGATATGTGCTCTGATTGGGGATTGAACCTGTAATCTTTTGGTGTACAGGATGACTCTTCAATCAACTGAACCACCTACCCGGGGTCTTGTAAAGGATCATTTACTGTCTCAGGCAGTTTAACTAGTTGGTACCAAACTGAAAATACAGCGGGGCAGACATGCAGTTGAATTCCCCTCTGAGTGCTGAGTCCTCATAAGGATCTGTGTTATTCCACTGGCCCTGGGATGGTGGAATCACCACACATTCACCACCTTGTTGATTTGCTGCAAGATGCGGTCATCCAACTGGGCTCAGCATCCTCACCCATAAAATGGGAATGTAACAGCAAGGGTGCCTGATCTGACAATTTGTCCTAGAGTGTTTCACCGAAAAGTGCACAGTGGCATGGGAACTACCACTTATTCGTCCCCTACAAGAGCTAGGCACTGTGCTACATGCTTTACAGGTACAATTTCACTGTAATCCCTAAAATAAACTTTATGTTGATTAGACATCCTTACCTTTATTTTACGAATGAGGAAACTGGTGCTGTGAGATTGCTGTGGCCACACTATAGCAAGTGGCAGAGCTGGGACTCCAACAAACCTCGGTCTTACTAATCCTGCCTGGGTGGCGTCTCCACCCTACCACTGAGCCTCCCCGAATCACCAGGTTTGGCCTGTGGCCACCTTTAGCCCATGATCTTGGGTCTGTTGCAGGTGATTCAGGGGTCCACCTCCCATTAAACATTAGAACCCCCAGGGTTGTGCTTGTCAGAAATACTGAGGCAGAATCTCGGGGGGGGGGGGGAGAGGGAGGGATCAGAGGTCTTTATTTTAAACAAGCCCCACCCCATGATGAATCTGAGGGCCATTGGACTCTGGTTTGTATTTGAGGATATGAAAAAGTCATCCTCTTTGTTTACGAATCTTGGAGTAGCAAGGAGAGAGAGCCCCCTCCCACAGAAGGGAGAGTTTGAGAGTTTCTGTCAGTGAAGATATATTTTCCTCATGTAAGTACCCCACTTAAAGCACACAAGGGAAAGTGCAAGAGGCCATGCAAAACGCAGCTCAGGAGTCAGAATTGCCACCTTGGACAAGCCACTTCATCCCAAACCCCAGTTTTCCATCTGTAAAATGGGCGTGCTAAAACAATCTTCCATGGTTACCATGAGACTTAAATAAGCAAACAGCACCAGTTGCTCTTCCCTCCCAGCATTTACCACAGTGTGTTTCAAATTTGTCTCAGCCACGTATCTCCAGTTCCCAACATTGTGTCTGGCACATATGTTTGTGGAAGAGATAACATTTGTAAAGACAAAGTCAGCCAGGCTCACAGCTGATTTTCAATACATTTAAAAATACATATATATGTACATACACACCTATGCATACATACATGAGTGTGTATGTAGAATGAAGAGGGGAACATTTGAGAGAACTCTCAGGAATCAGAGGTGCCAGGGGTGGAAAGGTGGGGTGACACTGTATTTGGAATCAGAAGCTCTGGTTCACCCCCGGCCGGCTCTGCCCAGCTCAGATGCAGGGCCTGGACGCTCACAGCTGCTCTCTCTCCTTCGGTGATCTTCCCTTACATTCTGGGTCTTCTAAGCAGCCTCAAACACTTTCGGAAAAGCTCCCATGCATAAAACACCAGCCGATCGAGGTCCTGATGCCTCTCTGAGCCTCTGGTTTTCATCCGTGGAAAAGACACAACGCAGCTAGGGTTTTGGGGAGCCTTCAATGAAAGCTCCTGGAAACACGTTTTTTGGTTTTTGTTTTTTTTTTTTTCTCACATGGGGAAGGGCGGAGGCGCCGAGTCAGACCCGGCATGCGCCCAGAAATGCAGAATTGCCGGGGGGAAAAATCCTAAAAGGGAAGGACACAAAGAAAGTAAAGGTGAATTCCAGGCATGAGTTTTCCGGGGGGCAGCGGGAGCTCCCCCGCCCCCCTCGGCCCCCAGGTGCGCTCCGCGCCGCCCACCGGCGCGGAGCAGGGAGCCGCGCTAGGACCCGAGGAGGAAGCGCCGCAGGGAACCGGACGCGGCCTGCGGCGGGTGCTGCCGCGAGCGGCCAGCCGAGCGGCTGGAAATGAAAGTGCAGCGCTCCGGAGCCACATGGACGGAGCTGCCGGGGCGGCGGCGCCGGGAGCAGGATGCGGCCGCCCGTAATTAAATAGCATTTACTCTTATTATTACTAATAATAATAACGTAATCATACCTCTAGTCATAGCATACCACTTATCGGGCTCGGCGCAGGCCCGCGGGGAGCGCAGCCCGGCCGAGGTGAGTGCAGCGCGCGGCCCGCGCCCCGAGTGGCGGAGGCCGGCGCCCGACCGCGTCCCGGCCGGCGGGGGGCGCGGGGCCCGGGGCCGCGCGGGCCGGAGCGGGTGGGGGACCCCGGGCCGGGCCGGAGCCGCGCGGGGCCACCTGAGAAGTGCATTTGGCAGAACCCCCTTTCCCGTTTCCTCTTTGGGGGGCACCTCTCGGTCCCTGTTCCCTGCCCCAAAGTTTCAAAATTATCGTGCAGCTGGGGGCACCTGCCGCCTGGTGATTCGGCCGCCCTTGCAGCTGCCGAGGGCGAGGGGGAGCCTGGGAATTTTCTTCCGGGGGTGCTCTCGCCTCGGCGATCGGAGCTTTGGGGTGTGCGAATGCTTTGCGGCCCCCCGCGAAAAAGGCACACGAGTGTCTTTTGTGTGCTCCTTGGCCCCACAGCGCCGGGAGTTGGAGGGACCGCGGCGAGGGCCAGGGACCCCGGCCGCCGACAGGCCACCCCTGCTGGCTGCGGCAGCCACGCGAGCCCGGGGATTCTGGGCCTGCGGCCGGGCCTGGAGTGGGGGGGGGCGGTGGTGGCAGGAAAGGGGGCGCGGTCTGGGCTGGGGGCATTTCCGGTCGCGGGATCGGTCCCTGGGCTCCGAGACCTGAGAGGGGCCTGTCGCTGGGTGGGTAGAGCTGGGCCGAGGGGACTGCGGGGCGCAGCTCCAGCGTCTGAGGGGCGCCCTGGGAGATGGGTGCCCAGGAGCTGCCGACCCCAGCCTCGGACCCCACTCCCTTCCTCCGAGGCCTCAGAGACTCCTCTGGGCCTGCTCCATCCTTTTACCAATTTCCTGTAAAATCTGCCTGGCTTGGTGTTTATAAGGTGCCTGGTTTGGGGGTCTTTCACAGCGACAAAGCAGTTTTCCCAGGGGGGCAAAATCATGTAGGGACGATTCCCTGGCAGATCCTGACGGCTGTGGTGACAACACGGCACTAGAGGGCAGGAGCAGGGTTTGGGCCCAGGAGGGGGGGTGCAGTAGGGGGCTGGGGTGCCAGTTGGGGCCGGGGGTCCCACTGCAGCTTCGTCCGGAATTTCATTCCTCTGGGTTGCTCACTGGGACTTTGCTTACCAGGTATCAGACCTGTGAACCCCAACTTCTTACCATTTTTCTCAGTTCCTGTAATCCATCAGGCCTCATGAAAAAAGCAGAGTGCAGTTTGTTGAGTTCTCACAAGAATGTGATAATTACAGTACATTGAGCAACTGTTGGAAGCAAACTTACAGCAGAATCTTCAGTTTCACTACCAAGACTCCCCCACGTCACTCCCCACATGCAACCACATCCCCAGGTTGTCTTTCTCCATTTTTACTTCCCACGGAAATGGTACTGGCACAGAGCGCGGGTGGAGTGGGTTTGAGGTGCTATGTTTCTTAAGCTGTGTCCTGGTAGGACCAGGTCTAAGGACAGGAGCACGAGTTTGTGGTCCCTGAGTGGGGGTGGGGTCTGTGTTCCCTGGATGCTGTGAGTTCTAGGCTGTTGGCTTTTGTTTCTGATGGACATTTAGGAATGTGGGTTTTGGCACCTAAGGAGTTCGGTGGGGTGAGCTAGTCTGGAGTGTCTCAGGTACAGGAAAGCTGAGGCATCAGCAGGTTTGGATGTGAGAGCCTGAAAATAATATTCTCTTAAGTAGCACTTTTTAGTTCCTAACAAAAGGGCTTTCACATGTGCTGGCTCGTCTGTCCTGCACAGTAACCATGTCAGGTAGACATTTTTCAGTCCTCATGTTCCAGATGAGAAGCCCGAGGCTTCAAGAATAGAATGTCTTGCTGGAAGGTCACATAGCAGAGGAGGATTCCCGCCTGGTTTTCTGACTCCAAATCTTCACCCTTTCCTGGAGTCCTGGGCTACTGGAGCAGTAACTTTTCAAGTGCCTCTTGTGAGCCCTGTTAGGTGCTCCGGGGCAGGCGGGGGGGTGGGTGGGGGGTGGTGGTGGTGTGGAGTTGTCCCTTCGAGTCTTCCTGGAAGGAGAATGGAAGTCTAGCGAGTCAAGGAGAGAACAGGGAAGTGCTGGACACGGGGGTCAGTGCAGTGGGAGAGGAGAGGAGAGAGAGCTCTTGGGGTAACCTGGGAAAGTTCAAGAAGGCTCCCTGCAGGAAGTGGAGCTTGAGCATGTAAGAGAGGGGAGGCTTGGCCCAATGAGAAGAGGAGTTCATTCCCAGGCTCGCAGCAATCGTCGGGAGGTTGACAGGCATTCTGATGCCTACAGTGCTCCTTGAGGGGTGGCTGTTGTTGGTCTTCATTCCACAGTTGAAGAAATTGAGAAACATAGGATTTATGGGGTTGACCCAAGGTCACCCAGCTGGATTTGAACCCAGACCTCTCTGTGATTGTTGAGTGTGCCACATTGGAATTGGTGTCACCTCCAGCTGGTGACATCATCTAATTGGACCACCTCCATCTTAGATATGTAGACAAGAACAGAGACCAGGACAGTATGAACTGGCAAATGCAATAGGGGTGGGGGCTAAAGCTAAAAGGTCAGCAGGCTTTCCAAGGCCAGGGGCTTTACTAAAACAGCCCTCCGTCCAAGGGCCTTGTGGGGCTGGCCCAGTAAATACGCTCTCAGAGATTTCTGGAAGGGAGACTGGAGAAGACAGAACGGCTGTGGAAGGAGGATGGGGCCCTGAGCATGCAGATCTGCGTTCGGTGCCCTAGTGCCTGCCTGCCGAGTACCTGGCTGCCTGCCTTGGAGGAGCTGGTAGCTTGCACAGGGGGAAGATATGGATGATTAACCTGAGCTGCTCAAGCACAGCCACTGGGTCTGCCCCACCCCCTGTGCTCCGGGCTGCGGTGCAGGGGCTGGAGGACACGTTCAGCCATTGTGTTGTCAAAGTGAATTATGCCCCACCCAGAGGGGGGAAGGTGTGTTTTGTCTGGGGTTGGAAATTCTTCCTAGAAGAAGTGCCATTTGAATATTTGGAAGATGGCTGAGAAAGGCTATAGAAAGGGCATCGTAGGGGGACACGCTGAGATGGACAAAGGCAGGGACATGTGGGGGAGGAACAGGCAGATGATCTGTTGCAGCCACAATATAGGCGGTATGTGTGTGAGTTCAGGTTCAAGTCTGGCTCTGCCACGGAGCTCCCCTGGGTTCTCTGGGCCTGAGTTTTCCTTTCTGAAAACAAGCCCTGCGGTTTGATGATGTTTGATAGCAATCTGTGGGAGAGGCCCAGCATCTGGGGCTTGGGACAGGGGACCCAGGTGAGAGGAACCAGGGGGGTTTGTAAATTCTTTTATCTTTTAAAGATTTTATTTATTTATTTCTAGAGGGGAAGGGAAGGAGAGAAGGAGAGAAATATCAATGTATGGTTGCCTCTTGTGCATCCCCTGCTGGGAACTGGCCTGCAACCTAGGCATGTGCCCTGACTGGGAATCAAACCATGGTTGTTTGGTTAGAAGGCCCTCGCTCAATCCACTGATCTACACCAGCCAGGACTATAAATTCTTCATAATTTCAAAACACTGATCCAGCAATTACCATGTGGTCAGGCCCTGTGTGAGTGCTTTTTCCTAGATTAGCTTATTTAATCTTTGTAACAGCCCTATAGGTAGGCACTATAATTATCCCCACTTTACAGATGAAGAAACTGTGGCACAAAGAGGTAAGTGACATTGTGTAAGAGGCAGAGCTAGAGAACAATCTCGGGGAGTCTGGCTCTTGAGTGAGACTTGTGTGGGCCTAGGGGTTGCTGGGAGGCAGGAGGGGCCTGACGGGCCAGGGGTGATGGGAGGTGCAGGTAACTGCCGATGGAGCTGGACCCTCAGCCTGGGCTGGTGAAGGGTTGGCTCTGAGTCAGCTCCCAGGAGCCTCTGCAGAAGCCAGCTCTTTTTATCACATTTAATGGCCAGAGGCACGGGCTCATTTTCCTTTCTCCCTCATCGCCAGCAACAGGGCTGTCTCCCACCTTATTTATTTCCCTTGGTTGGTCTGCTTCTTTGCAAGCACCCTGATGGCTTCTGCGGGTGCGCTGGCGCCGCCCCTCCCTCCCACTGTGGAGGCCCGGAGGAAGGGGCAGCCGCAGCACTTCTGATTCAGAGTTCATCTGCAGCTGACTGTGGTCAGCAGCAGTCCTGAGCCCCGTGTCAGAGGCTGAGACACTGGCTTGATGGGAACGGTGGCGATAGCGACAGCCGCCACGACATATCTAACGCTGCTGTGCGCCAGCACTGTGCTTGGCACTTCCTGTGTCTTTTCTTACTGAGTCTTCTTAAGAACTCGTTGAGGCAGGAGCGATGGTTAGCAGCCCCACTTGGCAGAGGAGACCGAGGTTCCAAGATCACCACTGCAGTGGAGCGGAGCCAGAGGGAGCCGGGCAGCCCAGGCTCCCAAGTCCAGGTCTTATCTGTCAGGCAGGAGTGACTCCTTGTGTTCTTTTGGTCTCTGTGGCGCTCTGTTCTTATCTGGAAACCCTAATTATCTAACATGTCATGCTTTTGCCCAGGGTCTCTCATTAATCCTCTTGACAATCCTTCAAGGTCAGTGAGGTCCCTCTTTTTTTTTTCGAAAAAGAAAACTAAGGGTCATTCATTCTCCAGCTCTTCCTGCCCTGTCCACACGGTGACTCAGGAAGGGAACACATGTCAGGTGCCCCGAGACCAAGTGCCGGGGTCAGCCAGCGAGCAGCCACTGAACACTTTCTGTGAGGGCTGCAGGGGAGGTGGAGGCCGTGACCCTTCCGGGGTTTTCGGGGGCTCGTCTGCTCTGCTTCCCCACAGCACTCTGTGTCCTGCCCCGTCCCTCTGCAGGCAGAACACAGGGCAGGGAGTCCAAAGTCCCGAGATGCACACCCAGCTCCAGCACAGGCCAGCTGCGTGATCTGGGGATGCTCTCAGCCATCTCTGCCTCAGTCTCCTGGTCTGTGAAATGGCCTTGCCGATCCAGTCCCATCTGCCTTGGGTTTGCTGTGAGTCTCAAATGATGGAACTTTCAAAGTTGTAAAGACCACCCGGTGTCTTTATAGTGCATGGCTGTGGTTGCCATGAGCAATTAATAACCTCCGGAACATTCCTGAGTCGTTTCCACTGCCCTCGTTATCCAGGCCTGGATCAAGTCACCTCCTCCCAGCCAATTTCCCAGCTTCCCCTCTTGTTACCCATCTTTAATGCAGCAGCCAAAGGGATCTTCTCAAGATTTAAATGTGACCCTGTCACTGCTGAGCACCGTCCAGTGGTTCCCTGACTTGTGCAGGACACAGCACTGCCTCTCCCACAGGTCCTGGCGTGCGTGGGGCTCTGGGACCGGCCTCGGCCTGCGCCTTGCACCCTGCTTCCTCGGTTTGCCTTCACTCCCGGCCTTCTGTCTGTTCCTCGAACACCCTAAGCTCCTTGCCACCTCAGGTTCATTGCCTTTGCAGTACCCTCTCCCGGTGCACTCTTACCCACCTCCCAGGTTCCCGTGGCTTGCTCCTTCTTTTGTCTCCTGTATTTTTTTGAAGATTTTATTTATTTGTATTTTAGAAATGGGAAGGGAGGGAGAAAGACAACGACCTGCGAGAGAAACATTGACCAGCTGCCCCTCATGCCCCTAACTGGGGACCTGGCCCTCAACCCAGGTTTATGCCCTGACTGGGAATCGAACCATCAACCCTTTGGTCCACAAGCTGGCGCTTCAGCCAGGGTTTCCTTCTTTTGACTCTTAAGTGCCACCTCCTCAGCAGAGTCTTCCCAGCCCACCCTCATCACTCCGCTGCCATGTTTCCTCTCCCAGTTTCCTTGTGACTGTTACCTCTGCCTTTCCTTGTCTTGTGCGGTTAGCCCTGACCTGTCGCTTTGTCTTCTTGTTCCTGGAACACAAATCCCGCAGGGCCAGGGTCTTTGTTAATCTCGTGCCCCGGCACCTGGCAGAGACCCCTGCCCACGAAGGTGTTCTGTGGATACTTGTGGGATAAGTGGGTACCAGTAGCAGGGTGTTCCTGAACAGCCCATGCCGAAAAAGAGTGGCCCAGACAGAAACTGCAGAGAATCGGTGTGGACTGAATGAGAAGGACTTTCAGGCTAATTTTGTAGGTTGCCAGGGACCCTGTAATAGTGTCCTGCTCGGCAGGAAAGACAAACTTACCACCTCCTCCAGGGGGGGCCTGCCGTGTAACTCTGGGAATTGCCTCCTTACAAGGCGCATGTCCTTGGCCCCACGTTGCAAATGACATACAGGCTCAGAGAGGTGCCCCAAAAGCTGGTGTGGGACGGTGCTGGGGTTGGAACCCAGGTCTGGTGGCCTGCCTCCCTGCCCTCAGGGAGCGGAGCAGGCGGAGTAGCCCAGGATGACCCTTGGCCCCAGGGCGCCCAGCCCAAGGACTTCTGACCCCCTGGGGCTGGAGCAGTGGCTTTTCAATCACTCAGAGGGAAGGAGCGCTTCCCAGTGTTGGGTGGGTACTAGGTGTTTTCTCTTTTGCTTTGTTATACTTGTCCATAATTCCCAAGGGTTGTACAATGAGCTTCTGTTACTTTTCTATTTAAAAAAAAAAAAAAAAGCCCTGGCTGGTGTAGCTCAGTGGATTGAGCATGGGCCTGCGAACCAGACAATTGCAGTTCGGTTCCCAGTCAGGGCACATGCCTGGGTTGCAGACTGGTTTCCTGCAGGCCAGTTCCCAGCAGGGGACACACGAAAGGCAACCATACATTGATGTTTCTCTCCCTCTCTCCTTCCCTTTCCCTCTAAAGATAAATAAAATCTTAAAAAAAAAAAAAAAAAAGCTCTTGTTAAAGTTTTCACTTAAGCACCGCAGCTGGCGGATGGCAGTGTAGCGCAAGCCTGGGCCCCTCCCCAGGTGGTTCGAGGCCTAAAACATGATTTTGAAAGTTAAAGCTCTTTGTGCCCAGAACACCGGGCCAGGAGGGGGAGTGTGCTGTGCTGCTGACTGTTAGTGTGGTTTATGCTGGGGCAGTGGGGGAGGCTTGGGGACTTGGGGACAGTTTCCTGACCTTTGGTTTCTGCCGAGGTGACCAGTTGAAAGTAAACAAAGTGCAGGTCCTGGTGGAGGGGTGAGTGCCAGGCCTTGCTTTTTTTTTTTAAGACTGTTTTTTCAAGCCTCACTTTTCTGTGGAAAGTGGGGACAATAACACCTACTTCTGGGATTATTGTGGGGATGAAAACATGATGCCTTAGAACAGAGCTTCAAACCATCGCTGCAGCGCAGACCCCTCAGGAGGCAGCAAGCCCTCTCAGGATGCTGTTTTTTAAGTGCATTAAACATGAAATGTACGGCATTACAGAGGAAGGCAATTCTAAGGAGCTGTGGCTGTGCTTTTTTTTAATCAGCGCACTGAAAGACAGGACCTCACAGTCAGTAACACAACTGCAGTGGTCTCGAGGCGGTCACCAGTGTGACCTGCAGTTTGTCGTGTCTGTGGTAGCCGAGAGGCAGCAGCGGGAGCGGTGATTTCTAGCCCGACCCTGCTGTGGTGTAGCGTCGACATCCGTAATCGAAGGGGATGCTAAGTACCAGGTGGGGGTTACTGGAAAAACTTGCCGGTGTTTTCCCACCCACGTTCATGGGCTCCTGAATTCTCTCCTTGGTCTCCAGGTTCAAAACCCCTGCCATAGAAGGTGCTTGACACCCAGTGGGTAATGTCCAAAGGATGGGCTGAGGCCCCTCCCTACCCTCCTTGGAGCAGAGGGTCCTCAGGGGAGGAGGCAGGGCCCACAGGGGCTGTGGGAAGGGGGCGGAGGCAGACCTGGGATGCTGACTGGTGAGGTCAGGTTGGCTGGACTAAACCATTGACGGTCTCTGACTAAGCCACTGAGGGCTGGTGAGTCAGAAGTGCCAGGGATCTTTGCTGATGACGCAGCCTCAGGTAGCTGAGCAGCCTCGGTGCTCAGGTAGCACCGAGTTCCCTTCACCCAGCTTCCCCTGATGGTAACATATCGTTGTGCCTGTGGCAGGTCTGTGGTCTGCCCTGACTGCTGCTCCTTCAAGAGTTGGGAACAGGTAAGTGCCCGCGGCAGCATGTGAGATGACCCAGGAGGCATCCTGTGGGGACCGGGAGGAGCACCACAGGGTTGGGAGGTGATGACAGGGTGACCTCCAGAGTCCAGTTGCCAGGGTTCAAACCCCAGCTCTGACACTTACTAACCAGCAGGTGCTAACTCCTTGTGCCTTAGTTTTCTCATCTGTAAAATGGGGATGATAATAGCACTTTCTTCTGGGGGGTGGTGAGGATTAATTATTATCATTAAAGCTCCTAGAACAACATCTGGTAGGAGAATGTACTTCATACCTGAGGACTGAAGTCAGTCTCTACCCTCCGTGCTGGGACTCGAGGCTCCACTTCCTCAGAACAGGTTGCTGAGTCCTGCTTCTTAGGGCTCCCAGAGATGGAGCAGATGCAGCTTCTGCCTCCGGGGAGCTCCCAGTTTGGGAAGGGATGGGAACATGAGCACATTCCGGCGGATAGCCCGGAGAAGTGCAGTGATGGCGGTGCTGGGGTGGGGGTGGCGGCGGTGGGCAGGGCAGGAAGCCCCGGGCACCAGCCAGCGGGGAGGAAGCGGGCTGTGAAAGGAGGTCCAGACACCACACACAGAGGGCAGCCTGAACGGGAAGCCGATGGTCCGGCGTTACCAGGGTGCAGCAGCGCAGGCTGGGCCTCACGGTGCCCTGCATCCTCGATGAGCAGCTTGGCATTTGCCCTCTTGCTGGTGGGAGTCACGGACGGTTTTGTTTGTTTAACTTTTTATTCACGGGAAGTTGTAAAAATAGCACCGAGTTCCCTTCACCCAGCTTCCCCTGATGGTAACATATCGTTGTAGCTTAGCAAAATCAGAGCATTGGCTTCGGTGCATTACTAGACTGCAGAGTGTATGTGGCTTCCACCTTTTTAAGAAATCTGCATTCGCACGCGAGTGTGCGCGTACCCAGAAGAGTTTTGAGCAGGGAGTGACACTGACATGTGGGTTGACGGATATTCTTGGCCACCAAAGGGCAGCAGACTGGACGGGACTCACTGGAGGGCCTGGGCTGTGATTGTGGAGAAGGAGGGAGGAGATGCCCAGGGGAGAAAAGTTTCCCAGGTAAAGGTGGGAGGAGTTGGAGACGGACTGAACCGGAGAGCTGAGCCAGACTGCAGTGGGGGATTCACGGAGGAGGGGTGGGGTGAGGGAGAGGCTGCTGAGCTGAGTTTGGAGTGTCCACTGAGTTGGGGGAGCGCCCGGCCCAGCTGGGGTGGGCATCGGGGAGGGCTTTCTAGACACAAAGGCATCCGAGCTGAGTCGTGAAGGAGTTGGCTGGCTGTGTGTGTCGGGGGGCATTCCAGGTGGGGGCCTCAGGCTGGGAAAGGCTTCGAAGTCATGGGCGACCTGGGTGTTGGACATCCAGGCTGCGTTGCTCAGAAGGTAAGATGGGGATCTGAAATGTTGGGGAGGGGGTGGGCCTGGCCAGGGGAACAGATTTGTGAATCATCAGTGTGACTCACGACATCAGCACAAAATGTGAGAGCTCATCTGGGGAGAGCGGGCACGTTGAGGGAGCAGGGTGCTGTCCCATCAAAAGAGGCCAGGTGCTTTGGTCTTCAGGCCTGGGCAGTGGAGCAGGGGCGATCAGTCACAGAGGCAGGTGTGAGGGGACCTGGCAGGCGCAGCCGAAAGTGCCAGAAAAGGCAGGTGGAAAACTGTCCCCCTGTGGACTCAGCAACAAGGAGGTCTCTTGGTGAGCGTGAGCGGTGGACTGGGAGTGGGGTTGCCGCGAGTCGGGGCATGGAGGACGTGAGGATGTGGACGTGCGGACATCTCTTTCAGGAAATGTGGCCAAGAAAGGGAGGAGAGCTTGTGCAACAGCCAGAGGGGGCTTTGGGTCAGGGAGGCAGTTTTGATTGTTTTGAGCCTGAAGACAGGCTAGGCGTCCTGGGGCTGGGGCTGAGTGCTGAACGGGACAGAATGGCTGTCGCAGGGGCCTCTAAAGGGATCGTGACAGCCCCTGGGCAGGCACATGGTTACCACTCAGCAACTGCGCATATCACTCACCATTTCTCATTTACTTATTCAATACTTATTCTGCCCTGGCTGGTGTGGCACAGTGGACTGGGTGCCAGCCTGTGAACCTGAGAACCAAGGGGTTGCCGGTTCAACTCCCCATCAGGGTACATGATGTTTCTCTCCCTCTCTTTCTCTTTCCCTTCTCCTCCCTAAAAATAAAATAAAACCTTTAAAAGTAAACACATAGATAAATAAATACTTACCCTTATCTATAAAAGGTCTGAGTAGGAAGAGTTGATACTCATTCATCTCTTTCCTGTACTGCTGTCCGGGAAGATGGCTCACACAGAGCTGAGTGGAGGGACTGTGGGGGGGGGCGCATAAAGTGGGGTGGCCTGGGCTCAGACCCTACCTCAGCTGTGCGGCAGCTCAAGGCAAGGGCTCTGAGCTTCCACTCCTCCCAGGACACCTGCCTCACCTTGCTGTTGAAAGACTCATTCAGACACGTATACCAAGTGCCTGGCCCAGTGCGTGGTGCTACATTGTAGCTATAATCAGTGGCATTATTTTGCCTTTTTTGTGTCTTTTCTCCTCAGACTGAGTTTGGTAGTTAAACAAGATTTTTTTCCTTGAACTTGAGGGAGTCCTATGCAGTATTCCAGCCCAAGTCATTTGTGGGAAAGGGCAGGTGGCCTCCATGCAGCTCCTTGGCCATCGAGCGCACTGTACGAACTCTGAGTCCAGTGGGACACGGGCGTGGAGGGCAGGGGCTGCGAGCCTGGTTTGGACGTCTTTGGAGACTCTGAGGCAGGTCATTGCCCTCGGGAATTCCCTCTGCACCGTGAAATGGGATGAGCGAGGGTGAGTGCACAGCGTGTTGGGGGCAGATGGGCCCTGTGACCGACTGATAATAAACTGTTCTCTCCCCTAGAGACTGATGGAGAGGCAGAGACGCAAGGCGGACATCGAGAAGGGGCTGCAGTTCATTCAGTGAGTGTGCGCTGGGGCTGTGGGGCGGGGCGGGGCGGGGCCTCGGAACGCAGCCGGAAGCACGTGCTCTCTGCAGCTCTCCTTTTCCTGCTGGCTGGTCCTTTGCTGTTCAGGTCCCCGCGAGTATTGGGGACTGGGGAGGTAGGAGGTGCCAGGAAGTGACTGGCATGGCAGGGGCGAGGGGCTGGATCTGTGAACCCCACATGTGAGCCACGAACCCTACACACGCGTGTGCGCTCCCTGACCCTGGCAGCCCTTCGGCCTTGTGCAGTGTGCCGTCTACCCTCACTGTCCACACACGCTCGTCAGTTCTCTTGCCTGTGCAGCTCTTGTGAGAAACCAGTGGCCCCACTTACTGAGCACGTCTTCCTAGCTCCGCGCCAGGCCCTTTACATCCATCATGGTTCTGATCTCCACAACAGCCCTGGAAAGTGGGTGGTCTTGTCCACCGTTTTGCAGGTGACACAGCTGAGGTCAGTCTGGTGAACAAGGTTAACCTGGAGAATGCTGTCTTTTGTAGGAATCCATCATGAGCTGAAGTCACTGGTTTCCCTGGAGCTACAGCTCCGAGCCCACACCCGGGTTCTGCTGCTTTCCCGGGTGGTCTCCATTCTCGTGAAATGGAGAGAGCAGTGCCACGTCCCTCACGGGGTCACTGCGCCTGCAGGAGTCATTAGCTTTGTGGCCTGGTCTCCTTTCCCAAGGGGGTCGCAAGAGGTTTAGCAAGAGGACTACCTCCAGGAACCATGTGTTGCTCTCCCCAGGGGCCGCTCTGCGGGATAACACAGTGGGCCTTGCTCTTTGTGAAATTACTGGGTTTTCACATACAGATCGCATGTGCTTAGCAAACATTTAGTTGGCAACTCTGGGCACAGAGCATTGGAGGAGACACAAAGCGATCTGGACAGGTGGGTTGGCGCTGCCTTGTGGAGGCCTTAAACACCAGGATGCGGTGATTTTTAGGACAGGATGTGACCTGTTGAAGAGGAAGCCCGTGCTGGAAGGGGAAAGGCTGGAGGTGGAGACCAGTTAGGAGGAGGGTGACCGCGGCAGTGGCCTGGGCTGGGACAGTGTGGGGAAGGAGGGACAAGCCCTGGCCTCTGAGGGTGGGGAGGTAAGAGGATCGGGTTGGGAGCCCTGCTGTCACCATCAGGGACACCTCTCACCCCCTGGAGTCCTCCGGCATCTCTCACTGCTTCTCCCTCGCTCGCTTAGGCAGCTCCTTCTCGCCCAGCCATTGGTGACAGCTCCACGCAATGGAAAGGGCCCAGCCCTCTGGCCCTGGCGCTGACCTGCTGTGTGACCTCGGGCAAATGACTGCCCCTCGGGGTGTCTGTTTTCCCCTCTGTGACATGAGTGGCCGGGAGACAAACCCCAGTTTCCCCTCCAGTTCAGCCCTTCAGCATGACAGGTGCACCTCTGCTCTCCTGGGCTGACACTTGCTACCATCCTGAGTGGCATTTTTTTGACCACGGGAGAGCAGAGGGCACCTAGGGACCCATCTACATTGTTGAGTCTGACATGAAGGGGTGACAGGCTCTAGGTGTACCTGGTATTGGTTGGTGTTAATGTGAGTTTCGTGGGAAGGGGCAGGAGAAGGGGACCTTGGGTGGATCGCTGATGGTGCCTGGGGGCCTGCCGCTGCAGGGCTGGTGTGGCAGGGCACAGCCACTCGTAGGGAGGGGACTGCTTTCTCAGGACAGCTGGCTCAGCCGAGCTGGCCTGCTCTCTCTCAGCCTCTGCACCTGGGAAAGCCAGGCTGCTAGGCCCTGGGGTGAGTGGAAGGCCGGCATGGTGATGGTTCAGGGAGAGAAAACTGCTGTCCACTCATCCCAGTCCGTGAGGTGGCATCGGAGGTCCGAGCTGGAGGAGCCCACTCCAGGCGTGATCCTGGCCTGTGGCTCTGGCTCCTGGACCTCCATGTATCTGGGACGCTCGGGCTCAGCTAGACCTTGTTTTCCTCTCCTTTTCCTGTTAGGTCGACACTACCCCTAAAGCAAGAAGAATATGAGGTGAGTGTCAGCTGCTGGGCTGGGGGGAGGCCAAGAGCAGGGGTGTCCAATGAGGCGGGTGTGGGTCCAGGAGCCAGGGCTGGGGCTGGATGGAGAAAGCCCCCTGAGTGCCCTCTGTGTCCTACACCCTGGCAGGCCTTTCTGCTCAAGCTGGTGCAGAACCTGTTTGCCGAGGGCAATGACCTGTTCCGGGAGAAGGACTACAAGCAGGCCCTGGTGCAGTACATGGAAGGGCTGAATGTGGCCGACTACGCCGCTTCCGACCAGGTGGCCCTGCCCCGGGAGCTGCTGTGCAAACTGCATGTCAACAGGGCCGCCTGTTACTTCACCATGGTGAGCCTGGCGCGCCCCCGCCCTCCCCCACCCCCTGCCCTGCCCGCCACTTCCCCAGATGCCCAGCCGAGCCAGGCCATACCCCGGGGAGCCTCTGCAAGGCCGGCTTCTCCCCAGCCTCCCGTCTGAATCTCACCATCTACTTCCTTGACTCTCAACCCTGCTGCACAGCAGATTTACCTGGAGAGCTCGTGAAGTACTAATACCGATACGTGAGAAGATTTTTAAAGATGACGCTGGTGCCTAAGCCCTACCCCAGATGGATTCAGTTCGCATCTCAGGGTGGCCTGAGCGCTGCCAGGAGTCTGTGGGCAGTCAGGGCTGAGAACCTCCCTTGTCATCACGCCGCCTCTTTCTGCAAACCTCTGGCCTGCCCCGCTGCTCCCTCCTGGGCTCCTCGCCTCCCACCACAGCCTCCTCCCTGAGCCGGTCCCCGGGCAGCCTCCATCTCTGCAGGGAGGGGAGCAGGAGGCCCGGGGGAGGGAGGGTCACCGGCGCTGACGCAGAGCCCCTGCTCCTCTCCGGCAGGGCCTGTACGAGAAGGCGCTGGAGGACAGCGAGAAGGCCCTGGGTCTGGACAGCGAGAACATCCGAGCGCTGTTCCGCAAGGCGCGGGCCCTCACCGAGCTGGGGCGCCACAAGGAGGCCTATGAGTGCAGCAGCCGTTGCTCACTCGCCCTGCCCCACGTGAGTGCGGCTCTGCGTCCACTCTGGCCAAACCACCCCATCGTTCTGAGCCTGAGTTTTCTATTCCATAGAGTTGCAACTACTGTTACTAACCGTGACCTCTGACTGTGTGCCAGGCATTGCTAAAGATACATTATATTAGCTCACTTGCAACAAACAACCCTTTGTGGTAGATACATTTATCCCCATTTTAAAGATGATAGAGGGAAAGGAACTCTCCCGGCATCTCCGAGGCTTGGTGCTTAGAGTTAGAGTTGGTGCTTCTAACCAGATTGAGTGCTGAGTACAGGGTCGCAGCGAGAATGAAAGGGGTGCCACGTGCACGGAGTGTCCAGGCTGTCCTTAGCTGGGGAGGAGCCAACGGGACATGACCTGGAGAGAGCCCCGCGTGCCTCAGCCAGTGTGCGGCTGGGCATCTGCATGCGCTCCCCATTTAGTCTCCTGCGTAGCGAGTGTTTACTGAGTGCCCACGCAGCACCCAGCGCTGTGCCTTTCGGGGACCCACAGGCTGCGCGGAGACAAGTGGAGACATCCCTGGGTCTAGGCTGGGCTCCACCACTGACCCCGGGCGTGGACCTGTCCCTGCGCATCACCTCCATGCCTTTAAAAGGTCTTTTCTACTTTATCCCTGAAATGGTGGGTGTGAAGGTGTTTGGGGTAGGTAAGTGCTTCCCAGGAAGGGCTGAGAGGACTCAGGAGTGGTCAGGATCCTGGAGGACTCCCCGAAGGAGGTGGGTCATGAGTGGGCCTGGAAGAGGCAAGAAGGATTTGGGTGAGCAGAGCAGAGAGGAAGTCACACGCATGATGGTCAAGGACATCAGTGCCCCAGCTCTGGCCTGGGTTTGGGTCCTGATATTGAGCCTGCACGTACTAGCTGTGTGACCTTGCACACACGGCTTGGCCTCTCTGGCCTTGGTTTACACCCTGTAAACGGGGTGATAACAAACCAGGCGTCGCAGGACTGTGCTGAGGATGGAACTCGACAGTCGCACGGGCCGGCGTGCACGGTAGCAGGCACAGTGAGTGTTCAGAAAACATGCGCTGTTACTCTGGGTTGTGTTTATTATTCTTCCTCCCCTGACTCAGTTCATTCACAGTGAGAACCTTTCTCACGACAGTTGTCCCCATCCGTACAGCTTTTTCCAGCACTCAGAGCAGGCCCACACCCAGCTGTTGTGGCGACCCCCTCCTGCGAGGACATCTGGCTTTTACCCCACTGTACAGCCCAGCCAGGGTGGTAACTCCCCTGAGGGAAGTACGCAGATGAGGGCTTTGGACTCTGAGTTGGAGAGTTCCCATTTCCAGTCTTTGCGGATGGATGCTAATAGAACTGTGCCTTGTGTTGGCACCATGACTAGAGATGACCCCAGAGCCTGACCTTGGGGCCCCGGGAGCTCCTCAGTGAGTGGGAGGTAGCAGCTGCGGGGGGTGCGTCAGTCCCCCTCGCCCGCCGTTGCCCAGACCAGCCTGATGCTGTTGCCTACCCAGGGGTCTCCCCCACCAGACCGGGCTGCCCATGCATCCTGTGGGGCAGATTCCTTTTCCTCCCCCCAATAAAAGAAAAACAGAAGCCAGGGGTTCTGGTCCCAGCCGCACCACAATCTAGCTGTGTGACTTGGACAGCCAGCCACCTTAGTGTCCCCTTCCCGGAGCTTGCTTCCTTGTCCGTAGTGACGTGGGCTGAGAGCAGCCCCCCTCGCCGGACTGCACGAGTGCCCACAGTCCAGCTTGGTGAGCCGGGCAGACCAACCTGCTCCACCCTGTGTCTTGTCTTCCCAGGATGAAAGTGTAACTCAGCTTGGTCAGGAGCTGGCTCAGAAGCTTGGGCTGCGAGTTCGGAAGGCGTATAAGAGGCCCCAGGTAGGCGGGCTCTGGGTGCCGGGGTTGGTGGGGTGGAGACGGGGGGATCTCAAGAGGGAGTCTAGGCGCCTTTGGGAGAAGTAGGTGAGGGTGGCCGGGGCCAGGCCGGGACAGAAGGGAGTGACAGCAGGTGATCGTCCCTCTTTTTGGCCGAAAGCCCTGGAGTGACTTTCAGAACCTTTAGGGAAAGGAAAGAACAGCCGAAGCTTCCAGCTCACCTTAAACTAAACACCAGCTGTTAAAACCCATCCCCTCCCCTGCCCTGGATGACTTCAGCACCCAAGAGATGGCCTCAGTGATAGTGGTGTCCTTCAGCCTATGTCCTCACATAACCCCCGTGTGGTGGCGCATATTTGAAATGTTGGTATCTGTTCGGTTCGTTCAAATCTATGTATGTTCTATGGCACCTACTGTGTGCCAGGAAGCTGCACGTAGAAAGGGTATCGTTCTGGAGTCTCTGCTGTGACCTCGAGCAAGTCAGTCCTCTCTGTACCTTCAGTTCTGCACCTGGGACGTGGGGTAATCATGCCCATCTCAGAGGGTCCCCGGGAGGATCACAGTGAGCAAGTGACATGGCAGTGCCTGCACACAGTGGCAGTGTGTGCTCGAATTCCTCTGGTCAGGTCAGGGTTGCAGGAAGAAAACACCCTCAGGTGACCCAGAAAGTGCAGGTGACCCCTGGCGGCCTGGGGCAGGGAGCCTTGGAGGGCACCATGGACCCCGGCCGCCTGTCGGGCCCCCTCTGCTGCCCTGGCTGATGGGACCCTGAGCATCTTTCCAGGATCTTCATCTCTTCCCACCTCTCTCCAATCTCTGGCAGGAATTGGAAACCTTTTCTCTGCTCAGTAACGGCACTGCAGCTGGTGTGGCAGATCAGGTAGGATGGGGCCAGGACCCCAAGCCTCCCTCCTCCCCACCTCAAGGAATGACCTGTTGTGGTTCATCCATCGTGAGAGCTTTGAATTCACTCTGGGGTATAAATGACCACAGGCAGAGGGCGCAGGGGCGTCAGACTGAAGGGTTGGGCTCCATCTATCCTCGTCTCCGCTGCTATGAGCCAGGCACCTGTGCTAGGAAGAGGGGCGGCTGACAGCCTGAGCCTGTCAGGTTCGTGGGGACAGGCTGTGGCTGCTGGTGGCGGGAATGGTCGCTGCAGGGGCAGCCTATGAACCCCTGAGAAGGGAAACAGTGGCAGCAGGAAGGATGGGGATAAGGAAGTAGAAAGGAGGGTGACCGGGGCCAGACCGCCCAGGCCTTTCCCTGTGGGCGGCGGCGGGCTCAGCACACGCATGACTGCCCTGCCACTCACCACATGGGAAATGCTGCGTGGACTTGGAGCCTTCTCGGAAGATGAGGGATGGCCTCTAAGAGTACGGATGGAGCCCATGTCCTGCCTCCTTGTTTTACATAAGGGGAGAGTGAGGCACAGAGTGGGCAGGGGACTTGACCAGTGTCCCACAGCAGGGCAGCAGCAGGCCCACCCTCCTCCAGGGTGTTGCAGCTCTTTCATTCATTTACTCATCACATCTCAGGGAATCCCTTCTAGGCCCTGGCCCGGCTGCAGGGCCAGAGCTTAGTTAGGCACCTCTTTGCCCTGGGGGACCTCTCAGGCTGCAAGGGAGGCAGGTGCGATCTCATCTGGTTTGTAACCCTCACTCATCGTGGTTTATAACCAGAAATTATTAGCTGCGCATGTACTGAGTGTTCGAAAAATAATAAGGGAATGTCTTAGTCTGTTTGGGCTGCTGCAACAAAATGCCGTAGGACAGGTGATTTATAGACAGCAGACAATTGTCTCTCGGTTCTGGAGACTGGGATGTGCAAGAACAAGGTGCTGGCAGATTCTGTGTCTAGTGAAAACCCACTTGTGGGTTTGTAGTTGGCACCTTCTAGTTGTAACTTTCGAGGGCAGGGGGGACCAGGGATCTCAGTGAGGGTCTCTGATACCATTCTCGAGGACCCCACTCACGCTCCTGTTCCAATCACCTCCCAAAGGGCCTCTTCTATTACTGTCATCACTTTAGGGGTTAGATTACAACATATCAGTTTGGGGGGGATAAACCGGTACACCATAGCAGTGAGTGAATGAATGAGCAATGAACAGTCCCAAATAATTTTACAGCAGTGCCTCAAGGGAGGTACTGCGTCTTCCCTGTGACAAAGGGAAATAGGCACAGAGAAGTTAGGTGACTGGTCTGAGTTCATCCAGTGTGTGGCAGGCACTGAGCTTGGGGCTGTGCACATGGCAAACCAAATAAGTATGGTCCCTGCCCTCAAAGCGCTCCCCAGCCAGGGCAGATGGACACTAGCCAAATCGTTTCTGGTTACAAACTATGATGAGACCTTTAAAGGCAGACCGTGGGGAGCCACGGGCCACTGGACATGTAAGGCCTGATTTGGACTGGCATCAGTGACCTTTAAGCTGAGCCCTGAAGGTTAAGGAATAGGCAGGGCAGGATATACAGGTAAAATAGCATTCCAGACAGGGGCAGGCATGCGCAAAGGCCCCAAGGCTGGGAAGAGCTCAGGTGTGGGAGGGACCAAGTGGAGGGGAAGCAGCGGTCCAGTGGGGCTGGAACAGTAGCTGGAAGCCAGACTGCTTTGTCCCTGGTGAGGAGCTGCATCCTCATCATAAGAAAGTTGGGAAGGTATTGATTCCCTCCATTCAGAAGATAATTATCGAGTGCTATATGCCCAGCATATAATTGATCTAGGCACTTGGGGTAAAGCAAGAGAAACAGCCAAAGAGCCACACCCTCACAGAACTTGCAGATTAATTGGGGAAGGTAAAGAAAAGGTGATATGTGTTATGGAGAAGGGGGCTGAGGAGTGCTGGGGCTGTTGGGAGGGGGCTGCAGATTTAAACAGGGAGCAGGGAAGGCCTCCGTGAGGAGGAAACACTTGCCCTGGCTGGTGTAGCTCAGTGGATTGAGCACGGGCCTGTGAAGCAAAGAGTCACCAGTTCGATTCCCAGTCAGGGCACGTGCCTGGGTTGCAGGCCAGGTCCCCAGTAGGGGACACATGAGAGTCAACCACACATTGATATTTCTCTCTCATTCTTTTTCCTCCTTTTCCCTTCTCTCTAAAAATAAATAAATAAATTTTTTTTTGAAAAGAAGGAAACACTTGAGCAAAGTCCTAAAGGAGATGAGGATAAACCCTAAGGGGGTCTGGGGGACCAGGCAGGGGGAACAGCTAGTGCGAACCCCTGAGACAGGAGTGTGTGAGAACAGCCAGGAGGCCAGAGGGGCTGGAGGGGACTGTGCAAGGCTCCTCTTCCGTCCTTCCAGAGGTGATGGAGAGGCAGGGGGTTATTCAGACAGGTCTTATCCAGGGTTCCTGGATCTCAAGGGCTCCTACCTCATCCCCAGAGCCCGAGAGACTGGGCCCTTTTGTTTTCTGTGGGTAGTGCTGTGATTGCGCATTAGCAGGCAGCTCTTGGATGACCTTAGCCGGTATGTGATGGGCTGTCTCTGTTCCTTCTCTTCCTACAGTGACTGCCCCAGTTCAGACCACATCCCACTTTTCCAAGTCCTGTCTGGACTTCCTTTCTTGTCGCCTCAACACTCTGCAGACCCCCCCACTTGTTCCCCCATTGCAGCTGCAGGGTGAGCTCCAGCAGCCAGGCCTGGCGGATCTCTCCTCACTTAGAAACCCTCAGTGGTTAGTGAAGTGTCTGTTTTAAAGTAATGTGATTAATCAACGTCCGGGTACTACCGCCTTGCGTTCAGGCCTCTCCATCGTCTGGTTCCAGCCTCCCTCTGCACCCTCACCACCTCCTGCGGACGCACCGGATGGCGTGTGTGCATGTATTGTCTCTGCTTTGCAGGGAGCTCACTTGAGAGCAGGGGCTCTGAGCTCCTCTGTTCTGTGCCTCTGCGTGGCACCGCTTTGGAGTCAGGGAGGCCTGGCCTTTGCTTACTGGTGGCATGACTGAGAGGCAGTTATGTCAGCTGTCTGCGCTTTGGGAGGCCTCTGTAAAATGGAGACAGTTGTGCTCAGCCCCCAGGGTGGCTCATGGATGAAATGAGAGCAGGCCTGGAAAGACAGCTCTTGGTGCCTGGGCAGGGTTGGTGTTCACTCCCATCCCATTCCAGCCCAGCTCACTCACAGGTCTCTTCTAGGAGCCTGGGACGAGGCACCTGCCTCCAGGTCCTCGGAGGCTGAGTGAGCGAGTGTGCAGTATAGTGGCACCTGGTCGTAGCAGGCAATGTTGTGCTGGGCAGGCACAACTGATGCTCAAAAGTTGTTTGGTGAATGACTGTGGCCAAAGAGCCACAGCAAATGTGGGTAGAATGCCCAGCTACCAGAGGGCCAGCCTTCCATGTCCACTGAGTCTGGAGCTAGGGGACCACAGATGGTACCATGCATGGCACCGGGTAGCTAGCCCCGGCCAGACCACTCGCCCATCCATGCAGCTTTGCTGGGGCCCCATCACATGCACACAGGCCAGGGCTGGTCATGGGGGTGGCATCCATGAGAAGGCCAAGCAGAGTGGATTCCACGGTGGAGGAGACGAGGTCAGACCCTGCCTCAGTGGCCAGAGTGGCACTGCGTGCACCCACACAGCCAGACCCCTGACCTGGGAGCTATATGCACGCACTGGGTGTGAGCCTGGGCTGCCGGGATGGATCTCTGGCCCAGGCGTCGCGTTCATTCAGCCAGTCATTCCACATGTGTGCCTAGTACTGGAGGTGGCACGACTGTGCCCACAGGGGGCTTCTTAGGACCCTGGAGTCAGGCAGGCCCTGAAGACACGGTCTCTGTGCCAGAGCTGTGTCCCTTGGCAGTGTGGGGAGCGAGATACAAGGAGGGCCGTGAGTCCGAGGCACAGACCGAGCCCAAAGCAGCGATGGTCGAGAGGCTGTGATGGAGTCAGGTTGGCAGGACTCAGGTAGGCAGAGAGGGGGCAGCAGGGGAACAGCTAGAGCAAAGGCTGAGAGGCAGAAGGAAATCCACGTTCTCCCCCTGGGGTTCAGAAGAATCTGGGCCCTGCAGCCTGGTGTGTTTGGGTTTAGGTCTTGAGTGCACCCCTTTATGTGAGGCGGCCCCTCCACCTCTTGGAGGGGTGCTGTTTCCTGCCGTCTTGTGGTGGCTGTAGGATTCCAGTGGGTCACATGAGAATGGTCTCAGCACAGCGCCCACCGGAGAGGAGGGGCTCCAGAGACCTCTGTTCTAAGCGAGTGTCATTAGCTGGAAACAGGCAGGGAGAGATGCTCTTAGAGAGGTGGGCTGGAGGGAGGTAGTGGGCAGGGGCTGCGAAGGCGACTCTGTCCTGTGGGGCCTGGGGAGCCACGGTGGCACTGAGTGAGTACTTCATACACTCGCCGTGAGCACGGTAGCTCTCCGACGCGGCGTGGCGGCCTTGGGCTATTGGGCTTTTCTGTGAGGGCCAGGCACGCCCTGGGAGCCTGCACTGTGGGGGGGTCTCTGCACACAGGGTTGGGAGAGCAAGGCCCGGGGTAGGGTCAGGGCAGGCTCCCAAGTCAGACAGCCCTTCTGACTTGGGAGTGGCAGCTTCTCAGGTCTGACGTCTCTGTGCTGGGGGACACCTGGCAGGGCACTAGGCTAAGGGCTGAACTCGACTGGGTGTGAAGTGCAGACCTGGCCCTGGTGTGAGGCAGCACCTGGTTAATCTTGTTGCTATTTTCACTGCTGCTGAGCCACAGGGCAGCATGGTCAGCGGGGGGAGGGGGATTCTGGTGCCCCCGCTGCCCTCCCTCAGAGCACAGAGGAGATGGGATCCCCCAGGGCCTCGCCAGGGAAGGAGGACTTCAGCTGGAGTGTGTGGGACTCACAGAAGGGGAGGACGGGCCAGGCTCGCAGAACGCTGGGCCGCAGCCTGCAGGCGGAGACAATCTGTACACGTCCACAGGGATGGAGTGCGGAGGCTGGGGACACGAGCACCCAGGTCACCCAGCTCAGTTCCTGAAAGCTTGGGTTTAAAATTCTGTTACTTGTTTACTGAACACACACAGCAGTTCCGGTATGTAAGGTGGTGCCCTAATACGGATGTCGAGTTGTTTCATCCTTGTAATGGTACGAGGAGGTGGGTGACTGTGCCGCCCTCACTTTGTGTATAAGGATTCAGGACGGATGGGTGAGGAAGTTGGCAAGGCCAGGAGCAAGCTCTGCCCGGCCTTCCCTCAACAGCGGGATCCCACCTGGACCGATTCCGCCCGGGGCTGTAACTGGAGAAGGGGACTGTGGTGACTCAGGGAGTGGCACATTGGTGCCTTCTCGGTTGTGCTGTCCAGTCCCATGGGCCCAGGTGACCCCCTGGGTGCTGGGCACTGTGACCTTCCCAGCCCATGTCTGCCTGACCCACCATGTCCTTCCTCTCCACAGGGAACTTCCAGTGGATGGGGGTCCATAGATGACATCGAAACAGGTAGTGTCCCTCATGCGAGGGTGGAGATGGGGCCCCGGCCGCAGCCCCGCAGACACGAGCTCCCGAGGGCTCCCTTCCTTGGGGACTGTGTGAAGCAGGAAGGCGAATAGAGTGGGTCTGGGCAGACTCCCCGCAGGGAGGGGAGAGCACCGCCCAGGCCTGGGAGGGCAGGCGGGGCTGCCCGCAGCGGGGCAGTGCTGGTCCCGTGTCTTCCGCCCCAGCTCCCCCACCCTGCAACTGGGTGCCACCTCTCAAGGTCATCCTCTCCCTATTTTTTCTCCTCATTTTTTCTCACTGGCTTCCAAGAAAGACCACTTTAAAAGTGTCCCTTAGAGAGGGCACTGCTTACCCCAGAGACAGAATATTCAGGCCCTGAGCCGGGCCCATCAGGACATATTACGGGACTGAAGGACCCTCTTCCACTCCATGGTGGCCTTCCTTCCCTATCACTGAGCCCCTGCTGGTGGGGGCAGGCCAGCAGGGTGGACCGGGTTCTGAGCAGGAGGTGGGGGAGGAGGAATGGTGTTGGATGAGGACCCCAGGGCCCTGGGACAACTCCCCTTTCCCACCAAGCAGCAGCCCCCACAGCTACTGAGCCCCACTCCCCCCTCCCCAGACTGCTACGTGGACCTTCGAGGCTCCCCGGCACCCCTCCCCTCCACCCTTACGATGCCCCTGTTCCCTCACGTTCTGGATCTGCTGGCTCCCCTGGACAGTAGCAGTAGGGCCCTCCCCGGCACCGAGGCCCTGGACGACTTCTCTGACGGGGACGTCCTCGGTCCTGAGCTGGACTCCCTTCTGGACTCCCTGGTGAGCCCTGCCTCCGCCCTCCTGCTCTCCTGACTGCCCATCCCAGCTGGGACCCCATCACATTCATCCTCACAACCCACAACGGTTGGAGGGAAGCCCTTGTCTCCATGTCACAGGTGGTAAAACTGAGGCCTTGGGTGGGTACCAGCTTGGAAGAAATGTAAAGCTGCAGAACGTGCAGCTGGAAGGGGCGATAAAGATTTCTGGTTCACCCCATGGAGCAGGCTGGGGCCAAGGTGCAGAGGGTTGGCTGTTCCCAGTGCCCGATGTGCCCAGACCCGGGCACTCAAGTTCTCTCCTGACACCTCTGTTCACCTTGCAGTCTCTGGTCCAGGGTGGCCTGCCTGGCAGCGCTGTGCCCAGTGAGCTGCCCCAGCTGATACCCGTGTTCCCGGGCGGGACCCCGCTGCTGCCACCCGTGGTGGGTGGGTCCATCCCCGTCTCCAGCCCACTGCCCCCTGCCTCCTTTGGCCTCGTCATGGACCCCTCCAAGAAGCTGGCTGCCTCTGTGCTGGACGCCCTTGACCCCCCAGGCTCCGCACTGGACTCCCTGGACCTGCTGCCGTACTCAGAGACCCGGCTGGACGCCTTGGACAGCTTTGGGTCGACCCGGGGCTCCCTGGACAAGACCAGCTCCTTCATGGGTGAGTCCCGGGTGGGCATAGTCACCCCGCACCCCTTGACAGTTTGCCAAGTATCATCGCAGCTCCAGTCTCTGGAGAGCAGAGCGGGGGTCACAGTTGTCTTGAGAAAGCCCAGGTCCTCTCACCCTGTCGCTGTCCGGGGCCACGTCTTCTGAGATGCTGTCTCCTGCCACTCTCAGTGCGGCATGGGGCCGGCATCTCATCTAGTCTCAGACAGCAGAGCTGTGGTAGTCTAGAACCAGGACTTGCGATCGGGTGCTCTCTGCCCAGCCCTCAGGGCCCTGGGGTCACTAGACGATAGGGTCGCATGGGATGACCCTGAGGCTAGGGGAGTGGTGCAAGGCCATGGGTACCTTCAGCACCACTCTGAGCTGGGTGCCAGGGACCCAGAGAGGAAACAGACCCACCTGGGCCCTGATGGGCCTGGCTTTCCACAGTCAGACCTGGCTCAGAGAGCTCACAGCTGAGGGGGATTCACGGGGCTGCTGAGCCCAGAGGGGCTTCACTCAGCCTCGGGGCCCAGGGAGGCTTCCAGGAGGGGATGACGGCACCTCTTGAAGGAGGTCATTTCAGCAGTCTGCATGACAGGGGGACATCTCCCAAGGCAGATGAGCGGGTTATGAGGGAGGGTGGTCTGGGGGCCGGCAAGACCTGAGCTGGTCTTGGAGGACCTGGGAGCCAAGCTGAGGCGCTTCGGCTTGCTTCTGGGGGACAGTGAGTGTGGCAAAGGTGTAAACACGGGGACACACTTAGGCTGGGACACTTCCCTAAGAGTTAGGGGGTCAGCATGAGTAGGAGAGGACGTGTACCTGGGAGGTTCTCTGGGTTAGAAATATGGAGGACAGGTCCTCGGAGGACCCTTCACACCCTCCAGATCCGGGCGGTGACCCCTGTGTCTTCTCCTTGCCCAGAGGATGCCAATTCACAGGACCATCGTCCCCCAAGTGGCTCTCAAAAACCAGCCCCTTCGGTGAGTGACTTGGTGACTCAGGCATCCCATGTCGTCCCAGGGGTTAGAGGACAAGTGGTTGGGGGCTGGAGTCGGGGTGAGCCCTCTGCCTGGGACAAAGAGCTGCATCCCCCCCGGGAGGAGCCCCTCAGAGCCCACGGGCCAGGGCTGGTCTCTCCCAGACTTCCCACCCGAGCTGTGTGCTGGGGGGGTGAGCAGAGGGCAGAGGGCACTGGGGTGTGACAGAAGAGGACATCAAGGCTCAGAAAGGCTAAGTAACTTCCCCGGGATAGTCAACATCCCTGGTTTCGGGACTCAGCCGGGTTCTGGGTGCAGGAGAGCCCTTGACCAGGATTTATGAAGCCTGAACTCATGCCTCAGCCTGGACACTAGCTGGGTGGCCCCAGCAAAGTCACCGAACCTCCTCTAGTCTTGCCTTCTTCCCCATCTGTTGATGCTGTGGGGACTTGGGAAACAGAGGCTGGGGGACAGCATGGCATTTGGGGCCACTCCTACTTCTCCACTTTCATGTTGGGCTTTTTTACTCAAGTAAATGGTTCTAAGCCAAGGTCACTGTAACCCGCGTACCCCTACTATGCTGGTTCAGTCCTGATGTTCTGGATTCTGGGATCATGTTATAGGGAGCTCCCCAGCTGGGAGGGCAGAGGAAGAAAGAGGGCCCTGGACTACAGTTCTGCTCTTGGGTGGGATGGGAGGGTCATAGAGCCCCCATCTAAGGCACCCAAGATGGCCAACTTTCCCTTGCCACAGCCAGAGCCCTCCATGCCCAACACCGCCCTGCTCATCAAGAACCCGTTGGCTGCCACCCACGAGTTCAAGCAGGCCTGCCAGCTCTGCTACCCCAAAACAGGTAACTTTTGTACTCTGCCCCTCTGCCCAGAGCTGCTTGGAATTTCAGGAGTGCATACTCCCAGCATGACAGAATTCTCGTGCACTGGTCAGAGAGGAGTCCCTCGTGCACTGCGGGACAGGAGCCCCTTGGGGATTTCCAGCAGACAGGGATGTGATATGGGAGTGGGGGCTTTCAGAAGGGCTGGGAGGGAGGGGCCCCTGCTGGCACTGCTGGTGAGTATCATGGCTGCCCTGCAACCTGGAAGCTGGTACCTGGCTGCAGAATGCAGAAGCCAATGGGTGCTGCGAACTCACCTCTGCCAGAGGAGATGCAGCAGCCTGCCCCTCTGTCCATGCTCCACCCCCTAGTGCGCCTCCCCTGGTGAGTTCAAACCTTGCACCCAGGTGGCAAAGGAGTTTGAGAAAGGTATTTCCTCAGCTCCCAGCCCCCCACATCCAAGGGAGATGATAGAAGCAGTTCAGAACAGATCTCCAAGGTTGGTAGATAATTTTCAGCATGCCTAGAATCTCAGAATTCTAGACTCTTAAGACTCAGAGTTTTATTTGTCAGCATCCTACTGTCCTGAAGTTCTAGAATGATATTCTCTTGGGATGCTGGGGTTGACAGAACCCCAAATCCTAACAGTCTAGAATTCTCTATCTCAAGCGTATTGGAGTTCAGAGGACCTTAGAGACCATCCAGTTGCTGTCATCCGCTCTCTGCATGACACTCCCATTAGCCCCCCCACATACATGTCACCCCTGAGAGTCATCTGACCAGAGCACCCATGGATCTGTGGGGATGGAGCGCAGAATGCCGTTTTGTTGGATGGCTGTGCCCATGAGGAAGTTCTCCCTTGGCCCCCTTCCCAGTCCACGTGCCCGCTGCTCCCAGCACCCAGGAAGCTGGCTAAGGCCCCAGGAGCCGGTGCATGCCTGGCGGCCAGATCACATGAGGTCCCCCCAAGGGCCATTTCCTCGTGGTCTCTTTAAGGAGACTGGCCCACTCCATTGTCTGGGGAAGGGAGGCCCTTGGTCAGAAGATTTGAGAGGATTGAGAAGAGAAAAAGGAGCAAGGGAGGGTGACTGTATCTGGGTGATGCCCTTGGGGGCAGGAGAGTAAGGGAGGGTGTTGTGGAGGTCTGCTCTCTGCCAGGCCCTGTCCTCTGACTCATTCCAGGAAACCCCGACGTGCTCAGGCTCCCTTAGCCAGGCCCCAGAGAGCGCAGGGCACGGGAGGGTGTGGCGGGGGGGGGGGGCACTTGCCACTGCTTAGGCCCGTCAGCCATCACCTGTCAGTTCTGCTTCCAGAATGACAGCCCCTACCCACCCTGCACCCACAGGCCCCAGGGCAGGCGACTACACCTACCGAGAGGGCCTGGAGCATAAGTGCAAGCGGGACACCCTGCTCGGTCGGCTCCGGAGCTCTGAGGACCAGACCTGGAAGCGAATCCGGCCCCGACCCACCAAGACCAGCTTCGTGGGCTCCTACTACCTGTGCAAAGGTGGGTGGCCCGTGGCAGGGTCCTGCTCTTATTCCAGGCTGCTGCTCTGCTCCTCATCACAGGTAGATAGAGGTAGACAGAGCAGGTATGGCCCATCGAGGGTGAACCCCACATCAGAGCGAGCATTTCCCACTGTGGCCAGCCCTGCAGACAGGTGGGAATGTTCGGGATGTTACAACTGAGCTGGTGGCCTGTGCTCTCGAATGTGAGGGTCAGACAGCTTAAGGAGAACTACCAAAGTATTTAGGAGGGGCACATAGTAAAGGCTTGGTAAGTGTTGGCTTTTAAAAATTATTCTGTGGTTATTGCCCTCACTTCACCTCATGTCATTATGGTTGAAATTTAATGGACAGTTTACACGCTTTCTTCCCATTCTCCAACTAAGCATCTTGGTGCAGGCTGTAGAGCAGTACGTGGCGGTCACAGTATTGGCCAGTGCTTTATATTGCCGCCCCTCTGTACCCACTGCCATGCGTCCTCACGACTCGGGGGGGTGGAGCCTGATGACAGCTGTGCTTTGCAGATGAGGATGCAAATCCCCACCCACCAGGTATAGGGCAGAGAGGGGGCCTGGCCTGGGGAGGGCTGTCCCGGAGCTCTGCCTTGCCTCCCCTCCCCTCCCAGGTGTCCAGCACACTATGTCGGAGATGAGCACAGGCCCTGCAGGGGGGTTGCTGGTCCCCCGGACCGCGGTGGCGGTGGTTGTGGGGGTGCCTTCCCGCCTGGCAGAACGTGTGTCCTGTTGCCTCTTTGCAGACATGATTAACAAGCAGGACTGTAAGTACGGGGATAACTGCACCTTCGCCTACCATCAGGAGGAGATCGACGTGTGGACCGAGGAGCGGAAGGGCACCCTTAACCGCGACCTGCTCTTTGACCCGCTGGGGGGCATCAAGCGTGGCAGCCTCACCATCGCCAAGCTCCTTAAGGAGCACCAGGGCATCTTCACCTTCCTCTGCGAGGTACCTGCCTGCCCACCCCACCCACCTGCCACCTCCGTGGCACAGGCTGGGGAGGGAGGGGGCTCCCTGGCATACTCCATCCATCGTGGGATGTCAGCCTTGGAGCCTGAGGGCTTTGGAGGCCCAAGGCTAGAATCAGCAGGTTCTTGGACCATTAGAAAGTTAGGCTCAGAGGCTGCTATCACGCCAAAGCCCTGACCCTCTCCAGCCCCCTCATTGTGTGGAGGTGGAAACTGAGGCTCAGAGGCCTGGAATAACCCCCGCCCCAGGCCTGACATGGTGACGTCCCAATGAGGGGTGGGAGTGAAGAGAGCCAAGGCCCTGGTTACCTGTCAGAGCCAGAGGGTCAAGGGCCAGAGACCCTGGGACTCCCTTCCTCACTCCCCAGACTCAGGTATTCGGGACAGGGCTTGTAGGGACCCATCTGTCCGCCCCTTCCCTGGGCAGATCTGCTTTGACAGCAAACCCCGGATCATCAGCAAAGGCACAAAGGACTCTCCGTCGGTCTGCTCCAACCTGGCTGCCAAGCACAGCTTCTACAACAACAAGTGAGTGGGGCCCGCAGCCCGGCCCAGGGGTGGGGGCACAGGGGGAGGGCCCCGGGGCAGCTCGGATGCCGGGGGAGCCGCTGAGGCTCGAGGGTGGATGGAGGCTGTCAAGGCAAGGGGCAGAATTTGGGACTCAGACCCAGCATCCACCTGGAAAGGACAGACATAACCGCCTGTTTTGAGCATCTGTGTTCCAAGCATCCTCTTGGGTATCTTAGTGGTCCCTGTAGTCCTATGAGGTCAGAGTTCCTGTCAGTTGTACGGATGAGAGCGCTGAGGCTTGGGAGTAAGTAACGTACTCATCGGGCAAGCAGGAGGCCACACCTCTGACCCCCGTCTGGTACCCTCCACTGTCTTGACATCTGTGTTGGACACTGAGTGGGAGGGGCTGGGTGAGTCAGCTGCCCACCTTTGCTCCCACTGACGCCCTTGGCTCTGCCCCAGTGGGGATGATGGAGCCCAGGCCCTGGAGTCAGAAAGACCTGGGTCCAAGGCCCAGCCTGGTCAGTGGCCTACTCTGTCCTCTGGCCACTGTGACCCTTGCTTTCCTCATCTGTACAGTTGACGGTGATCCCAAGTCCCCTAAGGTTGCTGAGAGGGTAATTAAAATTCCTGGCCCGGAGGAGCTGCTCGATTACTGTCCCTCGGTCCAGGACCCGCTCTGGAGCATCGGGCTGGGGTTCCTGAGGGAAACGCCTCCTCTCCCTCCTCCCGGCCTCGAGGAGCACCTGGGAGCTGGTGCCCTGCTCCTGCAGGCAGCTCTGTCTTTGAACTTGCCTCAGGTCGAATCCGGGAGAGGGGCACACAGCTGGGACCGTAATCCAGGGCGGTCTGAGGGCAGGACACCCACTAGGCTGCCGGCACTGTGGGAGGCGGCCCCCCCAGGAATGGGGGCTGCAGGCTGCATTGTGCCCCTCACCTGCCCTCCAGGTGCCTGGTGCACATCGTCCGCTCCACCTCCCTCAAGTACTCCAAGATCCGCCAGTTCCAGGAGCACTTCCAGTTCGACGTGTGCCGCCACGAGGTACGCTACGGCTGCCTGCGGGAAGACAGCTGCCACTTCGCCCACAGCTTCATCGAGCTCAAAGTCTGGCTGCTCCAGCAGTACTCGGGTAGGGCCTGCCCAGTGGCGGGTGGAGGGGGACTTGGGTGCGGAGCGGGGTGGCCACCGAGGGGCCTCCTGCACACTGTGAAGGCTCTGCTCTCAGGATGCTGGGCTTCCCCTCTCCAGGCACTTGCCGCAGTGGCAGGCGGAGGCCAGTAGAGCCAGGCTCCTACTCCCTTGGCTCCCCGGATGGTCATCAGCAGGTCACACCCCCTCACTGAGCCTCCATTTGCTTGTCTGAAATGGCCATCATCGTCTCTGTGTCAGAGTTGAGGAGATTAAAAGTGATTCACTCACTCAATCTAACCTGGACTCACTGAGCCCCTGCTCTGTGTCAGGGACCGAGCAAGAGCCAGGGAGACCCTTGCTGTGTGGGGACCGCCGTGTGTGAGTGAGGGCAGGGCGGGCAGTGTGACAGGTGGGCATTCCATCTCTTCTCCCCACTATAAGGGTTTGACCAGAGCAGCTGGAAGGACGGCGTTGCCATGTTCTGTGGAGGGGAGGCTGTAGGAGGAGCCGATGTGGGGGTCTCATCTGGGCCCGGTGTGGGATCTGGGCCGTTCTCACTGCCCGTTGGACTTAGAGTGGAGACACTGAGCAGACAGCTGGATGTGGGCACCTGGAAGTTCATAGGAGAGGTCTGGGCTGGACATACATGTTTGGGAATCGTTAGCAAGAAAATGGATGTCAGGCGCAGTGGCTGGCCCAGAGTTAATGGCTGATGACGAGTGGCCACCATGGAGCAGTATCCATAGGACAAGGTCAAAGACGAAATCAGTTCTGGGAAAGGCACTAGAAGGCTGGAGGTAGGTAGGCTGGAGGACAGCTTCATGGAAAAGGGTCTGAGCTGTAGCCCCTCGGGCAGGCTCAGTGTCAGCAGTGAGAGTAGGTGGGTCTGGGCCCCAGGCTCGGGCTCATACCCCGTGCTGGCAGGCAGTGAAGAGACGTTGCCCCTCAGTGAGCTGGCGAACCAGGCCAGGCCAGGCATGGAGCCCTAAGAACTTGTGGGCTGGAGTCTGCCCTGCAGGGGTCAGGCTTGAGGCCCCACTGAGTGTGACGGGGGTCGAGGAAGGGTACTGAGCAGCTGGCCCAAGAGGCAGGGACAGTGGTATAGGGTCATGGAGCCACCATGCCATGCCACGGAGCCAGGATCTTCCTCCTGCATTTTCCCATTCTTGGAGCAGGCCGCTGTCGCAGTCACAGATGCACAAATAAGCCCAGACAACAAGCACTGTTCTTGCACCTACCTCTTTACCTCTTTCCATGTCAGGCCCAAAGGTGGCGGGGGGCTCCTCCACCTGGGCCTGGGGTCCACCACCCTGCTCAGATCCCCGCCTCTCCTGGATGAGGGCCTTCAGGGACACCCATGTCTGCTTCCACCCCTCCCCCAGGCATGACCCACGAAGACATCGTCCAGGAGTCTAAGAAATACTGGCAGCAGATGGAGGCCCACGCAGGGAAGGCCAGCAGCAGCTTGGTAAGGCCCGGGCCGGCTTTGGGGGTGGGCTCAGACCTCATCCCTTTACTTGGACGTAATTCCAGATTCACCAGAAAATTTTAACGGTGGTACAAGCAGTTTGTGTATGCCCATTTGTGGATTCCCCAGATGTTAACATTTTACCACATTCCACACTCATTTTGTCTGTGTGTACGTAACACATACTTATATATGGAAATGAACACATTTGAGAGTAAGTTGCAGGCACAATGCCCTGTCACCCCTAAATATTTCCGTGTGTGTTTCCTAAAAATCAAGACACCCCTTACACAGTAAGCACAGGACTTGATCAACATCACACAATGAGCGTTGGTGTGCACTGTCACTCAGATTTCACGAATCATTCCCAGACCCCGAGTAGCACACTGCACTCGCCCCTTGTGTCGCTTTAGTGTCCTTCGATGCAGAGCCCTTTCTCAGTCGTTTTGTGTCTTTCATGACCTGGACGTTGGTGAAGAGACGCTTGCTTTGCAAAAGGCCCATCCATCTGGCATTGCCCAGTGGTTCCTCAAACCTCAGGATGATGCAGTGGTCTTCCTGGGTCACTCACTGGGGGGCACATCATCCAACTCAGCTTTTACTGATGATAATGGAACAACTTAATATAACGTGCCTCCACTGTGAAGTTATGTTTCCCCTTTGTAATTAATAAACACCTTCTGGGGAGATACTTGAGATCATGTAAATATCCTGGTATTCCTCAAACTTTCATCTACCGATTGGGGGGGCCCCACTTCCCCCTAACCCCGTCCCTCCTAATCCTCACCCTGGTCCTGAAGATCGAGCTGCGGCATCATGGCATTTGTGGACAGGGAAAGGGAGCTCTGACCATTCTCAGACCCACCCTGGGACTCAAGCTCAGTGAAGTAAATCCCAGGCTCTCTGACGCCTTTCTCTGCCCCCTCCCAACCTGTCCCATGCCCTTCACCTCTGAGGGTTCCTCATCCATAAAATGGAACCCTAGTCCTGCCTGCCTTCTCCCAAGGTCGGTGTGAGGCTCACAGGAGCTGACCACAGTGCAACGTCCTGAGTCCCTGCTCTGTACTGGCCCTGTGCCACCCTGACCCTCATACCTGCCCCAGCAGGTAGGGCTCACTGTAATTTAGATGACATTGGGGCAGAAGGGGTGGCCTCAGAGCTCAGAAGATGGTGATTATGATATGATGCCTCTGTGCCATCCACACAGGAGGGAAAACCCACTGATCAACTTGAGAGAAGGCTGGGCCCTTGGCCCACCCTGAGACCAGCCTGGGTGGGCACTGAGCGAGGGAGCGGCGCAGCTGGCCAGTCAGCAGGGCTGCCCGGCACCCTCAGGCCTTCCCTCTCTCTCCGTAGCCCCCTTGTTTCTGGTCCTTTTTCTTTCTGTCCCATCTTGCTGGTTGCTTCCTTCCTCCCTCCCTTTCCATGTGGCTTACTTTTGCTCCTGGCTGGGATCCTAGCTGGGCACCACTGAGGGCCAGGGCTAGACCTGCAGCCTCGTCTTTTAAAGAGAGAAGAGAGCCCTTGCCAACCCCCCCCCACCCCCTTCATCCTGCCCAGGGCTGCTGCCAGGCCCTACCCTCCCCACCAAGATGCCACCCTTGGACCTGGCTCCAGAATAGAACTGTGCTAGGTCTGGCCATGACCTGTGCATGGGCGTCTTGCTTGCTTGCTTGCCTGCCATCCCAGAGTGGAGCCAAGTATGAGATGCCAAAGTAAACCATCTGTGCCATTCCTTAAAGAAGCATGAGCACCTGCCTCACACCAGGTCACTGTCCTCAAGCCGTTTACCCAAGGGTGGGTTAGTAACCTCCCAGAGCCAAATGCCCCCACCTACCCCCCAGGGCTGCAGCGGGGAGCACTGTAGCACAGGCCGAGTCCTTATCCTTATGATAAAAGGGTGGGGCTGGCAGTGCTGGGGACATGGGTGCGCCCATGGCAGGGGACAAGCACTGGCCAGCCTGGAGGAGACGGCTGCCTGCAGGGGTGGCCCCTCTCTGAGCCTCCCAGGAGCATGGGGAGGCTCTGGCTCACAGGAGGGACAGCTAGGTTGCAAGAAACCCTGGGTAGGCACTTTCCTCACCTCTTGCCTCTCACCCTGACACAGGGGTGCAGGAAGAGCAGGGCCTCCTGCCTGCAAAGGAGAGGATGGGGAATGAACATGGCGGGGCCTTAGTCCAGGGCTGCCCCAAAGTCTGTCCCACTGCCCATCGCAGGCCCCTCTGTCCCCACGTGCCACAGGTGGCTTCCCACCCTCTGGGCCGTGCTCTCCACCAGGTCTGGCCCTCATAATGAGATGCGTCAACCAAGTTCAGATACTGCGGGAGCCCAGAGGATGAACAGCCACCACTTAGGGGAGCTCTAGGAAGGCTTCCTGAAGGAGGTGCTCAAGCTGAGTTTTGGAGATTTCTAGAACAAATTTGGTGAAGAATGGAGAAAAGGCATTCCAGGAAGAGGGAACAGCATGTGCAAAAGCAGAGAGGTGTGAGGTCATACGCTGTGCCCAGAGAAATGCCAGCACCTCCGCAGAGCAGGCCTGTGTGGACTGGCCAGCTAAGGTCCACAGGACCTTGGGAGTCAGGAGCCCCATCCCAGGCCTCGTTCCTGGTGTTGGGGGAGGTTACATCCCACGAGGAAGGGGTGATGGAGCAGCCCATTCCAAGGCTCTGGGCAGCCCTAATGCTCCCGGGGGCCACCTTCATGATGGACCCCAGGGCCTCAGCCCTGGTGCTTGTAGTGTCACCTGCCGTTCTGTCCACAGGGTGCCCCACGGACACACGGGCCCAGCACCTTTGACCTGCAGATGAAGTTTGTGTGTGGCCAGTGCTGGAGGAATGGGCAGGTGGTGGAGCCCGACAAAGACCTCAAGTACTGCAGTGCCAAGGCCCAGCACTGGTGAGTGGGGTGGGGGCGGGGGGCAGGGGTGGTGTACTTGAGCACCGAGTAAGGAGGCTGTGGCTCTCTGTGGAGGTCACTCAGCCTGAGATTCCACCCAAGCTCACCCCAAGTGGCCCGCCCCCCGCTCTGCCCTGCAGCTGGACCAAGGAGCGACGGGTACTTCTCGTGATGTCCAAGGCCAAGAGAAAGTGGGTGTCAGTGAGGCCACTGCCATCCATTCGCAACTTCCCACAGCAATATGACGTGAGTGCCAGGGGAGAGGCACGGCAGGGTGGCGGTCGGACCTCAGGTTGGGGGGACCATGGGGCTCCCGGAGGGCTTACCCTCCAGCTGGGATGGTGACGCCATCCAGGGGGACTCGGCATCATGCTCTCCCCTTGCCTGCCCTGCAGCTCTGCATCCACGCGCAGAACGGCCGCAAGTGCCAGTATGTGGGGAACTGCTCCTTCGCACACAGCCCAGAGGAGAGGGACATGTGGACGTTCATGAAGGAGAATAAGAGTGAGTGGGCCCTGCGTCCCCTCAATGCTGGACTCCCCAACTTTTCCGCAGGTCCAAGAGCACCTTTGCCACTGGTCCCTTCTCCAGGCACACCCGGCCACGCCCTCTGGTCTTCTGGGGTTGACCGGCAGCCCAGTGGCAGGGCCTGAGCCACCCCCAGTTCTCTGTCCCAGCAGGGATCATGGGGCAGAGTGCCAGAGCACCCCTTCACCGTGCACTCTGTCCCCTTTTCCCTACTTCCCACCAGTCCTGGACATGCAGCAGACCTATGACATGTGGCTGAAGAAACACAACCCAGGGAAGCCAGGGGAAGGGACCCCAATCAGTTCCCGGGAAGGAGAGAAGCAGATCCAGATGCCCACGGACTACGCCGACATCATGGTAACGCCTCACGCGTGCTTGGGGCCTTGCTCTGAGCCCGACTGGGGGCAGGCTGTGGGGAGGGGCTCAGCCTCTGGGCAGAGGTGTGAGGAGCCGGCACCCACGGAGGCTGTGCCCCCAGATGGGCTACCATTGCTGGCTCTGCGGCAAGAACAGCAACAGCAAGAAGCAGTGGCAGCAGCACATCCAGTCGGAGAAGCACAAGGAGAAGGTCTTCACATCCGACAGCGACGCCAGTGGCTGGGCCTATCGCTTCCCCATGGGCGAGTTCCGGCTGTGTGACAGGTGCTTGCGGGGAGGCCAGTGCCGTGGGTGGATGGCGGTGGGCCTGGGGAGGTGGAAGCCCGGGCCAGCAGGACTGGGTCGGAGGGGTGGGGTGGAGCCTGGCCAGACCCCTACTTCGCACGCAGCTCTGGATCAGATCCTGGAGAAGGCCAGGACGTGCCAGCTTGCAGCGTGACTGAAGCTGCCCAGGGAGAGGCTCGTCTTGGGGGAGGTTAAGCTGCTGGTCCCAGGTCCAGCAGCCTGTGGTAGAAAGGGCACTGGGATTGGGCATTGAGCCCCTTGCCGCCCACAGGCTCCAGAAGGGAAAGGCCTGCCCCGACGGGGACAAGTGCCGCTGCGCCCATGGTCAGGAGGAGCTCAACGAGTGGCTGGATCGGCGCGAGGTGCTGAAGCAGAAGCTGGCCAAGGCTCGCAAGGACATGCTTCTGTGCCCCCGGGATGATGACTTTGGCAAATACAACTTCCTGCTGCAAGAGGATGGCAACACTGCTGCTGCAGCCCCAGAAGCTCCTGCTACTGCCACTGTCACTGGGGAGTAGGACCCCGTCTTGGTCGTGGGTGAAGTCCTAGGGTCAGGGGTTGGGGTGGGGACAGAGGGCCTGGTAGAAAGGCCAGAGCAGGCCAGGGCTGGGGGTGGGGGCTGCCCTCACCCAGCAGCCCCTGGCTCCAGACGCCTCACCCTGCCATCTGTCCCTACTACCCAGTGCACAAGCCCAGTGCACGTGCTGCAGCCACCAGCCGTCCCAGGGTCCTCATCCCGCTGAAACCCTGGGTAGGGCCTCTCCCACTCCCAGCCCTCTGGGTTGGGTAGAGAGGAGTCTAGCCGACCCCTCCAGCTTCAGCTACAGCTTTAACTTCTGTCTGCTCCTGAAGGGGGCCCAAAGGTCAGGGCTGAAGAGCCTGGGGTCCCCACTTGAATCTGCAGCAGGAGGGTCCTCTCCCGACCCCACCTTCATTCCACCCCCACCTCTCTGGGGGCAGATCAGGATACAGCAGAGGGCAGGAAGCCCCACGTAGCTTTAACATGCAGCCCCAGGATGGGGCTGAGACACTGTACTGGCCACTTACCCTCTGGGGCCTCAGTGTTCCCTCTGGTTGGAAGAATGGGAGGGGCTGGGCTAGTGATCTCTGGAGTTGACTCTCCAGGGAGGCTACCATCCCAGCCCCTCTCGCTCCTGAGCCATTGAATGTAAATCCTAGATCCTCAGAGCCTTTGGTGATGGCCCAGCCCAAACCTCTGTTTTGCAGATAGGAAAACTGAGGCCTAAAAGAGAGGTTAGTTATCTGCCCAGGGTCTCCCTCCCACGGCCTGAGGTAGAGCTGGGGTGCAAAACTAGTCAGAAGACTCAGGGCTTGTCATTAGCTGGAGCTTCCAGGCTCTCGATAAGAGTGTGACAGACAGCCTCTGACTCCATGTGCAGCTGGGGTCCCAGGCAACCCCACCCAGGGGCTGGGGAAGGGGGCTCAGAGGGCTAGTCTTGTCAGCAATGTGGAGGGGAAGTGCCCTCCCGAGGACGGTTGCGGGGAGTGTAGCAGCAAAGATTACTTCCCCGCCCCGCTCAGGGACAGGTAGTAAGGAGAGCTGGGAATGGGCAGGACACCCGTGGGCTCAGGTTCTGCATCAGGTATTGGGATGGGGGAGAGGTGGAGAGAAGGGAGACGTGACTCTGGGCACCATGGGCCACTCCAGGACCAGATATAACCCCTCTTTCTGGGCACCCAGCATGGTCCTCTCCCCCTTCTCCCCAGACCCAGAAATCAATTATGACCATCTGTCCCGGCCCCTCCCTCCTGCTCCCCAGCCCTGCCAGCTGCCTAGGACCCCAACTGATTCCCCAGCCCCTGCCCCCCCACCAAGCCCCTCTCTTGTCCCCCTCGTCTAATGTCTGTGTGCACCCCTTCCTCTCCATCCCACCCCCTGTGAGTATATCCAGCCTCCCATGGTTCCCTAGACATTCCAGAAGGCCCCACACCATTGGCACAAGAAGTGGGCCCCCCCCCCCCCAAAGGAACCAGGACCAAGGCTGGAGTTGGGGGTGAGATGGAGAGTATAGAGTACCCTGTATTTCTCCTCAAGCAAGGATTGATAGTGTGCGGATATGATGACGGGCGTCCCAGGCCGCAGAGAACCCTGTTCCTCTTGCCGCCACTGCCCAGCCTTTCCCCAGTAACCGGCATGCATCCCTTCCTCCCTGCCCCTTCCCCCAGCAGGCCAGCGCTGCGGAGTGTGGATGCTGGTGGAGCTGGAGGGGAGGAGAGACCACACCCAAGGTGGGGGCGTGGCCATGAATGTCAATGACATGTGTTTTCCCTGATTCGTGGTGTTGCAGTCTGTTGTCACCAGCCTTGTTTTTAGTGTGTATATATGTCGCTCCTGTGATACATATATACACAGGTATTAAATATATCGCTCTATATAATATTATATATGTGTGTGGTATCCAACGAATCACTTCTAACGAGGGCTAAAGATAAAGAATTTGGTCAGAAAATGCAGCCATCTGATGTAATTGGGAAAGGTTTTCAGGGTCATCAGGCCATTTTCAAGGATTCAGGGACTAGAGCCGTGGTCAGAGGTGACTGGGGCAGAAGTGGCCCTGCCTAGGCCTAGCTCTGCGTGGCAGCTCCCAGACCACCGCTGGTGAGGAGCGAGTAAGAGTGCTCAAGAACAGAAAATGATTGCTGTTTGTCTCCCACCCAAGGGAATCGGATTAGAGTCCAGATTTTTCTTCTACCTGTTACCCTCCCAGGGGTCCCTGGGATCTGGGCCTTTCTGGCCTGGCCAGAGCTGCTCCCCTGAGCAAGAAGCAGGAAGGGAGGTGTGGGGAGGGGGATGGGAGTAGACTCTGAGTGGTGAGGGGACTATTTCAGTTGTGACCCTGACTGGGAGGCTGGGAGAGTTGAACCAGGGGCCTGTGCCCACCACCATCAGGCAGGGTCAAGACGTCATTGCGAACATGGTGACCAGGAACAGACACCCTTGATGTGAGGGTCCCTTTGGATCAGGCAAAGAGGGATGCTGCATTTCTCAGCTGGGCAGGAATCAACTTAGTGGTCCTTTTAAAACGTCTGTGTATAAAAATTTAAGAATACCACACTTTAATATTAAATATTCATAAGGTCTAGTATCTTGATAATAATGTAGATGTTTTAATAACAATTTTTGTCCTTCTTAAAATAAAATGAAAGAAACTTGCTTCTCTTAGCCTTTGTTCTAGAAAATAAATGTGCATTTTGACCTCTGTCCCCAAGGTGTCGCTCCTGTTCCTCCCTGCCTGGCACTTGTGCCCAGGGCCTGGGCTACAATATACTCATGAGGCAGAGCTGGCTGGTGCTGGGAATGCCTCAAAGCAGACATTCCGAGGGGTGAGGGGCAGGTCTGGTTCCCTGTGTAAACAGGGCAACAGCTGACCTTGGCTCAGGCAGCTGACAGGGACAAGCTGTGCTCTGCTCAAGTGACCCCAGTACCACCCTCTGCTGGCTCTTCTGCAGCCTGCCTGCTCTCAGCCCTCCGCGTGGGCTGTCCAGCAGCACCCACTCCTCCCTACTCTTACCATGTGCACGTCCTGAAGGGCCGGCACTGTGCACTGTCTGTGTGTGGTTTTTCCAGGAAGGTGAGGGGCCATGTCATGCTTTGAAATAGGATCTTGACTGCAACACAGATTCTTCTGGGCCCAGGAAGATCTAAGTCACATGGGCTTCCCCATCCTTAAAAGAAGAGTATATTAGTTCAGGAATCCTTAATGAGGGACATCTGTATCTGCTGAAGGTAATTTTTCTTTTTTTAAAGATTTTATTTACTTTTAGAGGGAGGGAGGGAGAAAGAGAATGAGAGAAACATCAATTTATGAGAGATATATTGACTGGTTGCCTCTCACATGCCCCAACCAGGCACCTGGCCCTACAACCCAGGCACGTGCCCTGACCAGGAATTGAACTGGCGACCTTTTGGTTTGCAGGCTGGCACTCAATCCCCTGTGCTGCACCAGCCAGGGCTGGAGGTACTTTTTCAAATCTCGCATTGTGTGTGGTTGCAGGCCATGGAGGAGCTGCACATGTTCATGAGCAAGCTCTCCAGACAGCTTTAAACTACAGCACAGTGACCCCAGGAACAGAGGTCTAAGACCTGTGTAACTTCAAGGATAGGGAGTCATTTGGGCTCAGTATACAGGAAGGGCTAAGATGCTTGACAAATGACCAGATGAGTAAGCAGCTGCTGGCTTGACTGAGGACCTTCTGTGTGCCAGGCACCGGACGCAGTGTGTCTGTTCACAATATTCCTGTACATTCAGTGAAGGTTCCGAGGACCCCCAGAAAGGAGGCAGAAAAAGAACCACTTGGCTGGTAGGCAAAGGTCTCTTCAGCGCTGACGTCTGGTTTCTCAGCATCCCTGGCCGCACACCAAAAAAAACAAAGTGGCATCACAAGGTACTGCTCCCAGACCCAATCCTCGGGCTGGAGAAATTATGAGCCCACATCAGGACCTCCCTTGAACTCAACAAATAAAGAGTATAATAAGCAACCAACCAGAGGAGACCTCTAAGCCGGGAAACCCAAGAAGTGCAGACAATCCCCACATGCCTGCTAGGTGGCCCCTCTGAGTGTCCCCAGGCTTTTACATGGCCTCCCCCCTCCCACGTCCCTCCCTAGCACCCTGACCCAGCAACCTGCTGGGTGGCCCCTCTGTGACCATGGGTGATGCTGCAGTCTGGACACCCTGGGTGCAGAGCAGGGGTGCGAGGTGGCCTGACTGGCATGAAAATTCCTTAAAGGTGGAGACTTGCCTGGCTGCGTCTGTTATTTAACTTTGAATTCCTCACAAGACCTAGGCGGTGCCAGGCACACCTTAAGCACTTGTTCCAGGTCCTAGAGGCTTCATATGCTCACACACTGACGGGCCTGCAGAGGGCCACAGGGACAAAGCTCCAAGGACTCATGTCATGCATCTGGTGGGCATTTTTCTGAGTCATGTGGGGCACTTCCTATTGCCTCTGAAACCTGTGGGCACCTACCCACTCCACCTCTGTGGTAAGCTAACCTTGCATGTGACAGGGTTGTTGGGCCAAGGAATGGTTAAGGTACCACCAGCTCAGCCTCGGTCACCCCATCCTGCAAATCGGGGCAGCCTGCAGACCAGGCCCGCCATGTCCTCATTTACCCGGGATCACAGAGGCGAAGGGTGCTGGAAAGAGAAATACAAAAATCTCATTTTTTAAAAACGAGGTTTCATTATATATGTACTTTTAAAATTGTTTTTGATTGATTTTAGAGAAAGAGGAAAGGAGAGAGAAACATCAGTTTGTTGTTCCACTTATTTATGCATTCATTGGTTAATTCTTCTGTGTGCCCTGACCGGGGATCAAATCTGCAACCTTGGTGTATTAGGATGATGCTCCAACCAATTGCTCAGGAGCTAACCAACCAGGGCTTAGAAATGACATTTCTTTTTTTTTTTTTTTTTTTTTTTAGTTGTGACCACTGGTTATTTATTCATTATATATAACTAAATATCCAGGCAGGCCCCATCCTATTCCCCCAAACACTATCAACTCCAATTATGTTTAAAATGTTTAGAAGCATGCAGAGTATTTTAATAGCATTAGTGTAGGATAGGATTTCTTCAACAAGAATTCAAACCTTGAAAGACCAATATAATCAACTACATCAAATATAAGAAATTCTGTACGAGACACCATAAGAGATAAACTTGAAGATACCTGCAGTGACTAATTTCTACAGGACTAGAACCCAGGAGAGTTGATATCAATGAGACAAATAGACTAATTGAAAAACAAGGAGCACTAGTCAGATAGTTCAGTTGGTTATAAGCAATGTCCCAATGCACCAAGGTGTGGATTTGATCCCTGGTCAGGGCACATACAAAAGATCAACAAATTAATACACAAGTGGAATAACAAACTGATGTTTCTCTCTTTCTTTTTCTTTTTTTAAATATTTATTTATTTTTCGAGAGAGGGGAAGGGAAGGAGAAAGAGTGGGAGAGAAACACCAATGTGTGGTTGCCTCTCATGCGTCCCCTGCCGGGAACTGGCCTGCAACCCAGGCATGTGCCCTGACTGGGAATCGAACCGCGATACTCTGGTTCGCAGGCCCGCACTCGATCCACTGAGCTACGCCAGCCAGGGCTAGAAATGACATTTCTAAAGGATGCCTTCATCGAAAATGTTGAGCTTTGAGCCATATACTGTTTTTCTGTTTTCAAAAATTGAAATTAATTTTAGTTTGGGAAAAGAACATGGTTTTGGGGAGGGAGGGCCACTAGGGAGGGAAGGAGGGTGATTAGAAGACAAGGTGAGAGCTGTTCAGAAGATGCCAAAGAGGTTCCTGGAGTATGTTTGGTTCTATGCAAAAATGGGATTTTGGAGAGCAGCGAAGGATGGCGTACAAATCTGCTACAGCAAAGGAAGCATTGCTTACTGCATCCAATCAGGAGTGTCAGAGACACAGAACCAGACCTGAAGGCTGTCACACGTTCAGCAGTTTTGGACCAGAGACCCAGAAGATCTGAACGGCTGCTTCCAGATCCCGCATCAGTGTGTGGCGTCACTGAGAGCTGACAACCCGCTGGCCGAATCTGATGCTGGTCTTCAGCGGAAGGTGACATACAGAACTCTGGCTTCAACCACACTTTCAGGTGGCCTGGGAACCACAGAGTCCAGTATTCACCAAGGTGCCTAGGATGGCCCGGGAAGCAGGGCATCATCCAAGACAAGCCTGAGGCAGGTCACAGAACTGGCCCCTTTCAGTAGTCCCTGCTCCGCCTGGCCTCCCAGCACCTGCCCGCTGGCGCCCGCCACTTCTTCCCTCTCAGGAAAACCAAAGGGACCCCAGGCTGCAGGTTTTGTGACTTCCTTTAAGAGAACAGACTTCAGCCCTGGCTAATGTCTCAGTGGATTGAGGACAGGCCCGTGAACCCGGGAGATCACCAGTTTGATTCCCAGTTGAGGTACATGCCAGGTCCCCAGTGTGGGGTGTGCGAGAGGCAACCACACATTGATGTTTCTCTGCCTCTTTCTTTCTCCCTTCCCCTCTCGAAAAATAAATAAATAAAACCTTTAAAGAGAGAGAGAAAACAGACTTCAGGCTCTGCACATGGTAGAAAGCCCCAATGATGCATTCCCCATGCACACCTGTGTACCTTGCAAGGCACATGGCACAAGCATGAAAACACACAGCCCTTGGAGGTTCACAAGCCCGCAGGTGACTGTGTAAGGTGCCTTCATGTGCCTGTATGTACGAACACGGATTTTATCCTTTGTGCTGAGCTGCCTGCAGTGCCAGGGTCTCAAGTCCCAGCCCCAGCTGGTTTCCACAGCAGGCCCTGCTCTCGACTGTGCCAGGGGTCCTCTGTTGAGTGTGGCTGATTGTGCGGTGCACGCTCATTGCGGGCGTGGAGCCAGCCAGCTCCCTGTTCTCACCTGGCAGGCCCTGGTCGTGGCTCCCAGCCTGGGGGAGAACTTCCCTTTGCAAAGTTAGATAACAGCACAGGCTTCCCGTCAGATGATTGGTGCAGTGGCTCCACGTGTTGCAGCTGGCACAGGGCCAGGCCTGCCCTGCCAGGCAGCAGGGAAGGGAAGGCCTGGCTGCAGCCTGAGCTGGCAGGGGGCCGAGCTGGGGGTGGACGGGCGGGCCGGGGTCCGAGCTGCCCATTGGCTGCCTCCGGCTCCCGCCCCGCCCGCCTCCAGAGCCTGTGGCTCCCGGGCCAGCTCCTGCCTCTCCAGCTGCTTCTAAACTCCCAGAGCAAGCTCCTCCTGCCAGGCCATGTCGAGCTGCGACCGGATCGGAGTAGCCCCTGCCATGGACATGCCTGAGGTTCTCAAATCCCTGCTGGAGCACTCTTTGCCTTGGCCAGAGAAGAGGACAGGTAGGAACGGAGGTGGCCTGCATTGGCTGGCTGCCCAGGTGCCCAAGGGTTTGGGGGCAGCCACAGGCACAGTGGCAGGACAGGCATCTCCAAGCTAGAGAAGGTCCCCAGCAGGGGTCTGTCCTTGGTCCCTTCCTGAGCAGGAGGAAGGGCTGGGGTGCAGAGAGAGACAAGGCGGGGCGTGCCACTGCAACTCCAGGACGGCCCCCTCAGCTTGCTGGCTTAGGGGGGCCATGGCCAGCGTGTGGCCACTGACAGGTGCTGTGCTCACGTGGAACAAGGGCAGGACCAGAGGGCCCTGCTGAGAGAAT